ACAAAATAACAACATTTTCCGATTTAGGGACAGGTTTGTTACAATTTATTTTAGTCAAATTTCTTCAGAAAGTAGTACAAACTAATCTGACGTACCTATTAAAGTCTACTTTAAGCTTTAAATCAATAAATCTTCAAAACTACTGAACTGAAGCTCATGTATTTTACATCATTATAAAGGGATTTGAAAGACCTTTAAAATAAGGTATCACTCGACCCCCCTTTCCATTTAAGATTTAGGGTTGGTGTCACCCCCGCCCAGGGGGCTGCACGTGTTACCGTGATTTTTTGCCAAACTTGTGTCCCCCTCGAAAACAAAATCGACGGGTCTGAGCGTTTTTCCAAAAAAAACTGAGCTGCCAGTAAATGCGTCTGTTTCGTTTTCGATGCGCCACCCTGTATATGTTTAGTTATTTCGATCGAGAATGACATTCTGAACTCAACAACGTTTCACATCTGACAAATAAAGTCATTTTTACTTCAATTTTTATTTTTCGATCCAGAATGCCATGGTAAACTTGACTCTATTTTCAATAAGCTAGATTAGGTGTTGTTGAAGTAACCCTAGTAACCACCTTCAATTGTTTGTCAGGTATAACTAGAATAATAGGACTTAGTGCATAGGTATATACCGAATGCAGGTACGTATTATTTGTTATTATGTATGATCGTCTTTTACAATTATTCAGAAAAATTGTGAAAATAAAATAAGAGTGTGTAGTGTCAAATTATTCTTAGAAAAAGCCAACGAGCCAGTAAACTTAAAAAAATAGTATTTGTAACGTGTTACTTGATCAAAAATGAAGCGATTTACAGGATCCATGGCATTCTAGATCAAAAAATAAAAATTGAAACAAAAATGACTTCATTTGTCAGATATTGACAAGTGAGGCGTTGTTGAGTTCAGACTGTCATTCTCGATCGAAATAAGTAAAAATATATAGGGTGTCCCATTTAAAAATCGAAAGTTGAGTCAAAGCAAGTGAATATGTCAAAAAATTCATCTATAACACGCAACCCCCAAATTTCGTTTTTCTATCTCTAATAATAAAAAAGTTATAGTTGTGAGCCGCGTTTGTATTGTTACGAGCAAATGACACAATTATAAAATGCAACATAATAAAAAGGGTTTAGGTACTTCCAAAAACAATAACTCTTCGGGAAACACCACCTGAAGGATTCGGTAATCACTAGGCAGTCATTTGAACCAGACGTCGTTCGAACCGTACCCTCCAAAGCGGTGGACCACACTGCACTAATTATAGACTACGATTGAATCAAACATTCAAACGTGTAATTATCTTTTTCCTGTTGCTGAACACTATTGCCTTTCAGATATAATGATGACAGAAAAACAAATCGATGCTTTATATTTATTGATATTGAACGATGCTCTGGTATAAAATTTATAGAATAGGAATTTGTTTGCTGTACTCATCATTGTTTGTCAGAGCAAGGACTTTTGCTGTCGGTTGAAGTCTTGTAGATCTAATCGCCGATATTTGCGCATAGGTGACATAGAAGGGGCAACTTGTGATATCACACAATCTATACTTTAAATGCGGTTAAAATTACCTTTATTCCACGTATTTTGGGTTGCCAATAGCCAATCCGAGGTCGTTTTACATGTATGTGATCCCGTTTATCATGTAGATCTAATTATTTAGCGAAAAATTTCAAAACTACGCGTTATTTGCGACTTTAAGGTGCTAAAAATCCAATTTTACTATCGATGGCTACATGAGAGCAAAGCTTTGCACAGTGAGGTAAATTGGGGCGCAGAATATGAATCTCACTGTGAAAAAATTCTAAAGTGTTATCAGATTGGATTTAGGGTGAAAAGTTGACAAGAAACTGTTTTTCCGGGCTAGCCGTAAGTTCTAGCAATGTATCGACATCGAATTCGGAATCTACGTATGGTTTATCTGAAGTCACTTGAAATAGCATAAAAACCTTTGGTCGGCGCGTCCTTTGTAATTTCATGACGTATCATAGGCGTGCGGTTATTTATTTAGAAGGATAATAATAATGTTTTTATATCACCATAAATGGATTTTACTATCTTCTTATTTTTTGATTTGGGATAAAAAATACTTATATTGGGAGTTTAATTTATGTTGACTGAAAGTTAAGAAATGGAAAAATTACAGAATTCCAACGTTTGACATAGGCAAATATTTACATAGCATGTAGGTATATAAAAAGGTATATAAAGACTTACATTATAGGTATTTATATATCATCCTCGCCATCGGAGCTGTCGCTAGAGTCATCTTGTAGAGGAATTACAACGGGATTTACAGGAGGCAAAACACAATATTCATTTTCTTTTTCAATAATATGTCTAGAATACTGCTTCCATAGGTCTGTGGCAGCAATATGAGATACTGCATCTCTTATTGTGGCCAATAGCGATTCACTTAATTGAGGGGTCTGATTATGTTTTCTTACTTTTTTTTTAAAGCAGCCCAGGCCAACTCAATCGGGTTAAAAATGCAGTAATAGGGAGGTAGACGTAATACTTCATGGCCATTTTGCTGAAGCAGATTGTCAACAACATACTCTTTTTCAAATTTTTGTCTTTTAATAAGATCCAATAATATGGCTTTGGTTGATTTTAGTGGTATTTCCATTCCCTTATCCTTCATAAAATCAATAATGTCTTGTTTTTTTGTGCCTGTATTCGGAATTTTGTTTTTCTGTCGGGAATGGTATGGCGCATTGTCCATAATAATCACTGAATTTGGGGAAATGTTTGGTATTAACTGCTGCTCTATCCACTTTTCAAATAAGTCGGAGGTCATGTCCTCATGATAGGCGGCACATGATTCTTTGATATTTTTGGCAGATAACAGCAAGGCATTAGGTATAAATCCATTTTCACTGCCAGCATGGAGAATAATGATTCGTTTTCCACGGTTGCATGGTGCATTTAAAATGCACTTGTTGCTGTCGTCAACCCAGCCGTACTGCACAACATCATGGGTATCATACCACGTTTCATCCAGGTAAATCAGATTTCTTTTCTGCTCTCTATAGATTTTAACTTTGTGCAAAAATTCTTGGCGCAATTCAACGATTCGAGACGACTCCATAGTCACCATTCTTTTATCTAATTTTTTGTATTGAAAACCACACAGTTTTACAATACAGTGCAGTGAGTCTAAGCATTTGTAATTATAAAAATCTTCAGGATAATCTTTTAATTTATCCCGTATCATTTCCAACGTGGGCACCAAATTTTCTTTATAAAATCCGTATATTATACGACGAATATGTTCCTGAAAACCCACATCTATTCTTTTTAATTTTTGCCCTATGCGCTTTCTGTGGAAGGAATGGTTGACTACATCTCCCCTTTTTATAACCCGATAAATGGTAGACCGACTGATTTTTGTCAGGATACAAATTCTGTTTAAAATTTGATTTTGCGAGGAATCTGGATTTTCGCTTTTCAGACAATCATACATATTTAGGATTACTCTTTGGGTCTGTTCCTCTAAATCTTTATGAAAGAATTCTGCCTGCACAGGTTCATCAACCATCTCCTCGTGGCTTGGAGCATTTTCCCAAGGCCTCCAAAGAGCCATATTTAGGACACACAAGAACAATCAACACAACAATTAAATCAACAAGTAAACTGAGTATTCAAAAGTCAAAAACACACAAACTAATAAAATCTATGAAAAAACACGGACAGACTAAAGAAAACACGTTTATTCACCGCTACACGGCACTGGCTAAACTGTTTCAATTTTCAGTAGCCACCTGCACTTGTTCGGAGCTCTGAAATACACGCTTTCTCATTGGCTATGTCCACGCATAGGCGTGCTTTACTCCACGTGGACCGGTGAAACTGCCTTTGATCTTATACGGGGGATATTTGCTGCGAAATTTGGCGATTTTTGCAGCAACAGAGCGTGTTAAATATAGATATATAAAACGCACCCGGTATTTCACAGTGTTTCAAGTGACTTCAGATAAAGTATACCCGATTTACCCAGAAAACAAACTTCCATCTCGATCATAGACGAGCAAGAGTTTTTTTAAATTTTTTATTAGCCGTTTTTTGACGATGTTGAATTCTTGCCAGTATCTTGAAAACGAGGCATTTTCGGACGGAATTGGCCATGGATTCGGTTTCAGCGACCCAAAAAGCGTATTATAAGACATGTTGCGTTCACGTTGGTAACTAACGGGTGATTTTTTAAGAGGTATAGGATTTGATTTTCAAAAAAAAAATACAAAAAACGATTTAATCTTTATTTGAGTCGATATAACGGTCGATATAATTTAATGTTTAAAGATTTTTTTATGTAAATGTTGGCCCAATTGCTGCGAACGGCGGCGAATCGACATTTCACGGTCATCACTAACACTGGCGGATACAGCCGCAATATTTTCTTCAGTCCTCACTCTACGTCTGCGTGTTGGTGGTTTAATGTCCAATAATGTAAACTGGGTTCGAAATTTAGTCACAAGCTTCCGAATAACTCCCTCAGTAGGCCGACCAAATTGCTCACAAATTGGAAGCAGTGCTCGATGTACTCTCTTAACCGAGCATGAATTTTGATAGTAAGATTCAACAATTTGCGAGAGTTGTTCGTTCGTAAGTCGATTCATGGTTAAATTAAAGACCAAACTGAACAAGTTTGACAATGACGCAAGATACGATTCACGCGTCATCTGTCAAAAACAGTGTTGCCAAAAAGATACTAGCAACAACATCACCCATTATATGTTAAAATGCTTTAAATTGTGACAGACTCGGAAAAAATAATTTCCTCAACTTGTTTTTTTGACAATATAATGTCTATATTTGAAGTATGCTGCGTAGTACAGATATTTTTAGTTATAGTCGTCTCATTTACTAGTAGTAAGCATAACAAGATGCATCGCGTTCTAACCACTGAGTATATCAATTTGTTGGTTATAGGATCTCCTCTAGGACACTTTTTGCCTTCCCGGATTTTTCACATACACATTCCCCTATATATTTCTTTTTTTTTCAGTTGATGTCGTTACGAGAACCTAAAAGACAATGTAGGGAAATTACGAACCAGGTGACGAGAGATTTGAATACATCGTCGTTATTTGGTGATACCAAAAATGGTGAGTATGATTTTCTGTGAGAGATAAGTAAAATGTTTTAGAACGGGTATTGAGTCGCTCTTATTTTGTAGACTTTTCGGTATTACCGGAAAAAAGTGGGTCAAAGTAGGCTGTGTTTAGCAGAGACGTACAAAACCTACATTTTGATATTTTCTGAGCTTACAAATTTGTTTGAACTGCTCTCTTAAATCGGGATCAGGGACTTGAGAAACGTTCGAAAACGAAAGTGTGCGCCCTCTAGACAATCGTAAACATTGAGAAGAATACAAAAACGAATTGGATGTGGTTTCCTACTTTGACTAACATATTCGACCAGAAGATACCCAATTCAATCATTTTCCATCGCTAAGAAATTCTAATAATGCGAATGACTACGAAGGAGGTTAAGGGTAATAGTTTATGTCATGTTTGGAAATAAAACATTTTCTTTAATGGGAAAATGGAATGTTTTTCTTACTTCTACTTACTGTAATTCTACTTGGCAACACAGCTGTGACGAGGGAAATTATACTAAGTGACATATAAATCTAACTAAGTGACACTAACGCTCTAAAAATGAATATTTCAGCCGCAGTAAAGAATCAACGTTGGCGGATTTTGGTTCTTGACATCCTTTACGATCGGTTACGATGCCTAGAGTATGGAGACCTGTACGATTTCGTCAACTTAGTGAGTTTGATAGGGGCCGTATAGTGGGACTTCGGGAAGCTGGACTTTCTTTTCGGGCAATATCAGTTAGAGTGCAAAGAAGTGTAGACACTGTGGTTAGGTGTTGTCAGGCATGGCTTCGAGAAGGCCGTACGCAAAGAGCAAGGGGCACTGGACGCCGCCGTAGAACAACAGACCGTGAAGATCGCCGCCTAAGATTATTGGCCTTAAGGGACCGTTTCTCCACTACCAGGTCCATTGCAAATGAATGGTTTGCAGAACACGGAAGACCTATTGGCATGCGAAGTGTTTACCGATGAATGAGAAGTTTTGGCTTGTTTTCATACCGGCCACACTGGGTCCTCCCTTTAACTTGAGAACACCGACGTAATCGCCTTGAGTGTTGCAGACAATGGTCACTCTGGGATCAGGAATGGAACAGTATTGTCTTTAGTGACGAGTCTCGATTTTGTTTAGGCATGCACAATGGTCGTGCCAGGGTTAGAAGGCGACGTGGTGAAAGGAGGAATCCACAGTTTTTTGTTGAAAGACATGTTCATCACACTGTTGGAGTTATGGTTTGGGGTGCTATAGCTTATCGTGCCAGGTCACCTTTAATCTTCATCAGAGGTAACATGAACGCGCAGCGTTATATCCACGAAGTTCTAGAACCCCATCTTTTACCCTATCTTGACACCCTGGCAGATCCAACTTTCCAACAAGATAATGCCCGACCACATGTTGCGAGAGTCACAATAGACTTCTTTCAACATAATGATGTCACATTGTTACCATGGCCACCAAGATCTCCCGACTTATCCCCAATTGAGCACGTGTGGGATATGATGGGTAGGAGATTGCTCAATTTGCAACGTCCTCCTCAAACTCTAGAAGCACTTCGAGAGAAGTTGGTGGTTGCCTGGAATGAGATACCATAGGAGGACATTGACCACCTGATCAGAAGCATGCCTAGGCGCGTTGGAGAATGCGTAGCACATCAGGGTGCATCCACACATTATTAAAGGTCAAAGGGCTTTAAAGCAGTGCAATCATTTTGAAATTTTTATCATTTACTTATTATGCTTCATTAAGTACTTATACAAAATTTCATTAAAATAAAACCATTTAAACTGAGTGTTCGGATTTATATGTCACTTAGTATACATCTTCTTCGAGATCAAATTGATTAGAGAGTTTTAGCAATCGCAAATAGGGCATTCGGAGACATTAAATCTGACCTTCAACTTCATACGAAGTCAGCAAATTAAGTAGTGAGACTGGCAACGTACCGTTCGATCTGGCAACACTGGAGGCGTCGGGCTCTAGGGGCGACATGGGAACATGTGATCTTCAGTACAAGATTGAACTTGCTCGAGTCATTTGGTTGTCCGTAGGGATGTTTTTAACCGTTTTTCCTATTGTGTTCTAAACATGAAGGACATCAATACCAAGCAACGGTGTGCTTCAGACTAGGGCACAGTGCAACTTAAACTCTTGTTAAACTTCAGCAGGCCTGCGAAGATAGCGTTTTGTCAAGAGCCAGGTTTTTCGGTGATTTAAGGCATTTGCAGAAAAGAGTCGATTGAAGATGAACCACTAAGCGGAAGGCCTTTATCTTCAAAAACTGGTGAAAATATCGACAAAAGAGCGATGTTTAAACCTGCAAAAACATTCCTGTAGCTCCTCAGCCTACTTTTTCGGCAGACTTGAGTCCTTGTGACTTTTTTCTCTTCCCGAAGTTGGGAAATCGCCTCAAGGAACTTATTTTAGGACAGTCTCCAATACTGTGTGGCTTCAGAAAAAAGTCATTTTGAGAGTAACAATAAAAAAATTAAAAAAATCAGTCACTTACAGACTCGTATGCGATATTTATTATTGTAAAAATTGTCTATTAATTTTGTCAGATTACGTGGTGATAAACCAATTGTCTGTATGCTATTTAGCCTTATCATGCACATACAAAAGTGGTCTCTTGATTCAAGAGCACACACTCTTAGGAAATAGTGACATTGATTTGAGATCACAGGTAGATGAAATGCGGTAGCTTCATTGCTTTAAAGAAATATAGCTTCTACAATTAAGAAATTGGTTGTTCCTAGAAATGTTTTAGAGATATATCAAAGTCACGTTTCTCACTTCATGATAGCTACTCTTGAATTCCATAAAAATTATCTGCTTTTCTTTTTTTTTCAGGTTACTGCTCATGTCCCCCTTTCGAGTGCATCTGCAGCTACCAACAACCAACTCCTGCTACCCCTCAGCAATTCCCCTCATCTCCTACCTCTTACCCGCATCCTCTTCCTGAGAGTTATTGGACGCAGGATCCAAGCCACCCTCAAGTTTACCACTACACAGATGCAGTACCCAGCACGCCTCACCAGTATGACTTTAACACCATCAACACCGAACTATTCCAACCGGAAGAAATTTTCTCCATGGAGCAACCTATCAAACAGGACCTCGCGCAAAGTGACAGTGCTAGGAGTCCTCCAACGTTGCTGGATCTGGGTTCTGGAACCATCCATAGGGAGTTTAAGTCTGAAGACTACTGGAACGGAGCCTTGGGGAATATCTTAGTCAACGATGATAGTAATAATAGTAGTAATAGTAGGTTTAACGTTAACCAAAGTCCTCTGCTCAACAACAACCTACCGCAGGTTGACCAAAACGTTTACCCAGGGACTAAGATCGATATTGAGAATCAATACTCCATGTCGAAAATACCTTTATACCAACATCCCGAAAATCCTTATAAAAGTTTCGAAGCACAGTATTTCCTCGAGGACAAAGCTTTTCAAAACTGTGAAATCTACCAAACACCTAAAACTTACCATACAAAAGGTTCATCGCAAGACGAATATATTGATTTGGGCCAATTTGGTGAATACAATAGCTATTTAAACAGCTACGACCCTAGTAAAGTCAGTAGTGACGTTTTTACAGATCTAGATTTTAGAATCAATTCAAGTTGTATGACCAGTTTGGCAAATAATGTACATAGTAGTTATAGCCAGGAGAGTTTTGACGTAATGTCGCACCAGTAAGATACTTGTAGTGTCAACACTATTTTTCCCAGAGTGCCTTGTTCACTGTTATCATCATGCTTTCAATGATCTTCACATACTATGTAACTTTTACTATAGAGTTTGTTGTATATACTGTGTATAAAATAAACGAGTTGTGATATTACGTATTTGAAGTCTCATTTACTCACCTTTAATTTTAAATTCTAATATTGAATATCATTCTATTGCTACGCCACTGGATATTTGGCTATTTGTGATACCCAACGGCTATCTAACTGTCTTAAATATGATACCTGTGATTTAGACAGCAATGCACTTTAGCTATTGTCCGAGAGATGGCGCTAGAAGCAATGTTGGCGACACTGTTAAATTTTTTAATGTTTTGTGATTTAAGTTTATATTTTTGTTTGAAATTTGGTTAAAATCCTGTGTTGATGCCAAAGTTAATCTCTAAACTCAGATAATTTTAAATGAATATAGATTGATAATGAAATGGTTGATAAATCGAGTGATAGTTCGGGGAGCCCTAGAGATATTCATAGTTTTATAAGAAGACTCGCAAAAGGGAAATCAAAGACAGACACAGTAGAGGATGGTCCTAAAGGGAAGAAAATTAAAGTTGTCGATCAAGGTGATAAAGAAAATGATAGATCGAAAGTTGCTAATGTTGGGCAGAAAAACATAACAACATATTACAGAACGGTAAAAGGAAGTAGAAATTTTAGAAAGAAGAAACGAAATTGGGATAGCTTGTCTTCAGATTCAGATGGAGACTTCTGGGTATCCAGGTTAGCTTTAGGTGAATGTTAGTTTAATTACTGTGGTTTGTCATTACTTACCATAGACTGTGTTATTTATTGATCATGTAGGCTGAAGGTCACGAATTATTGATGTATAAAGTTATTTAGAAATTCACTGACAGTGACGAAATCATCAATAAATACTAGATATGGTTTGGACCACAGTAAATACCGATTGGTGTTCATCTTAGATTGTTGTAGTTAGATTTGGGCACTATGCTTTGATTTGCAGTCGTTTTTGAAATAAGTATAAAGTATTGCTTTTAAGATAAGCCCTAGCAGAAATTTCTAAATTTGCGAAAATCGTTTGTTTCAATGTTGTCTGATATGTCCTTATCAAAAAATATATTTTACTCGTTTTACCTGTGTTTTGATCAATCCTATAACAGTAGCTAAACATTCAGAGTTTTGTGAACCTGGAATGGTCCTGTCAAGAAAATTTGATTTTTTCTGAAAATTCTTGTCCATATTTTAGTCTCAAGTACAGGTCCAAGCCCAAAGCTTGAATCTATCTATCACCAATTCCTTGGACTAAAAATAGTATTTTGTTCAAGGTTTTGCTAATATTTTTGGGATTTTTCAGAAATGAATGTAAGCACATAAAAATACTTAAAAGAACGATAGATTAGTGCACGTTCTTGTGAATTTCTTTTTATACTAATGTATTACAGGGTGGCCAAGAAAAGGATCAGACTAGGTTAAATTCAGTAAATAAAAAAACAAATGTAACGTGATACACTGAGACACAATCAAGAACCCCATAGTGAACACCACTATACAACAACTATTTAAAACTGTAATGACTCATACGCGTGATCAACACGTGATCAGAGCTCGATCCCGGCTTCCTTCCAGTACAGCCGTATAGCGTACGACATATGTCGTTTCTGTGGCTTTACGGTGGTCAACAGCACAGACAGAGATGGAAATAATGGCTGATTGTTCTCCGCCGGTAGAACCAATCAAATCAAAGACGCGCCTCGACTGGCAGACTCATAGGCGTCGGCAACGCATTGGAACGTGTTTCGTTGAGCGATCGCATATTGTGTGATTTTATAAGAATTGTTGTGTGATTGTTATTGTTGTGGTTTCTGTGGTTACTGTTTTGGTTATACTTAATCATGGAGAATACAAATGGCACGAGTGGAAGTACTGAAAGCCAGGGAACAAGTAGACGGCTTCGTAAAGCACTGAAGAGGGACGCGAAAGAAATCGTGCTCAACGTGTTCAATTATCTGAACAGAACTATGTCGCAGGAAGATGCACTCGCGCGTTGTGCAAGTATGACAGGCGTTCCAGAGTGGACCATTCGCAGGGTGGTGCATGAAAAGAAGAAAACTGGAGCTACTACTGATCCAAAGTTTAATTTGAAGGGACGAAAGGCTGTTAAATTGGATGACGATAGCAAAATGGCGTTAAGGCGAACCGTACATTCATTCTTCTTTAGGAATGAGATACCAACCCTCAAGGCTGTACATGCAGCGATCAAGGAAAATTAAATTATACTCCAAATGAGCGTCGAGGTAATGAGGAAATCCCTGCACGAAATTAATTTTCGTTACGAAACGCGTAATCGGAAGTCAGTATTGATAGAGAGACCTGAAATAGTCGCCTGGCGTCGAAAATACCTACGCGAAATGATTGAATATAGGCGACAAAGCAGAAAAATCTATTATTTGGACGAGACATGGGTAAATGCAGGTCACACAGTTAAAAAAACCTGGATAGACAAAAACGTAGTGAGTAACCCACAAGCAAGCATTGAAGGTTTGTCAACAGGTCTTCGTGGACCGTCAGGGAAAGGCCAAAGATTGATCGTAACTCATATTGGTAGCGATAGTGGCTTTTTAGAAGAGTGTGACTTGATTTTCGTCTCTAAGAAAGGAGGTGATTACCATGACGAAATGAATGCCAGCTGCTTCGAGAGCTGGTTTCAAGGGGTGCTTCAGCGAGTTGAGCCCAACTCTGTGATCGTCATGGATAATGCTTCCTACCATAGTCGTCGAGCCGAACGTGTACCGACTATGGGATCTCGAAAAAGTGACATGCAGCAATGGTTGCGCGAAAAAGGAATCCCGTTTGACGATTCATGTGTGAAAGCGGAATTGTATGAAAAAATTAAACAGCACAAACCTGCGAACATTAGTTACGTGACTGATGAGATGGCCCGTCAATGTGGTGTCACTGTGCTGCGGTTACCGCCCTACCAATGTGAACTGAACCCAATAGAGCTCATCTGGGCTCAAGTGAAGGGTTATATTGCGCGCCATAACACAACCTTCAAATTACAAGACGTTAAGGTTTTACTTGAGACTTCCATACAGCTAGTAACGCCCGAAGCTTGGCAGAATGCTATCCGTCATGTTGTGAAGGAAGAAACAAAAATGTGGCAGCTTGACCACCACATCGACACCATCATAGAGCCCGTTATAGTCAATTTCAACGAGGAAAGCGATAGCGACAGTTTATTACTGTCAGATGCAAGTGGAAGCGACGATGAATAAAGGTAATTCCCAAATTTTTGACTTACAATATGTTTCAAACCACTCTTTATTAAGCATGTTACAAATCTAGTTCACCCATGTTAAACATTCATACCCCGCCTATGAACAGCCGACTACTGGTAGTTAAGTGATGTTCACTTGAACATCGATGAGTCATTACAGTTTTAGATAGTTATAGTATACTAAAAAAAGTAAACCGAATAGGAGCTCTGCACGGAACTGTGAACGCGTAGACATACCGCTGCGTCGATGGTTACCGAGAGACTGAAGCGTGTGACTGCTGTATCTCGCTGCGGCGATACGGTACGGCCGGGTAGTACAGCCACGCCCCTTTCCAGCTCCCACTCCGCGCGTCTGCTACCGATCAACGTAAACATCAAGTAGCTTCGGGAGCAGAGTGGAAGCTGGAAAGGGGCGTGGCTGTACTACCCGGCCGTAGTATCACCGCAGCGAGGGAGAGTACGCGTACGCTTCAGTTTCTCGGTAACTGTCGGCGCAGCGGCATGTCCACGCGTTCTCAGACCCGTGCGGAGCTCTATTCGGTTTAGCTACTTTTTTTTAGTAGTGCTGTTCACTATAGGGTTCTCGGTTGTCTCTCAGTGGTGCTTTGGTGTTTTAGCGTTGTGATGTGGGTGTCAAGTGTCTCCAAAGTGGAAATTAGGTCTACTTCCAACTCTTCTGATTGGAACAGGATACATGTGCAGCAAACTAGGTGGGCCTTGCATACTCATCTACTTGTGTGTTAGAGTTGACATCCTATGTTTTTTAAATAAATTGCGCACATTGCATAGATTAGTCATATACTCAGTATTTGGGAAACACTAAAACTTGGCCAAATAGTTTTTATTTTTGTCTGACTTCATTTTAAGAAATGTCAATAAACTAATGGCACTACATGATGGTGCACAACATTCAATTTCAATAGTTGTCTTTTGCGTGGCCATGTTATCTTTACTCGGGCCCTTGAATCCTTCTGCAGGTTCTATGGAACTTCAGAGGAACAAAAATACAGTTAAAAGAATATTGACAATTGATGTTATTCCTTAGATATGACTTGAAGAATAACAAGAGTACTGGTGATATTCCAATGTGTAGTGACATTGTTAACTGTGATAAGGATCACCATAGTCTACCAATTACCAAAGAAGAAGTAAGAAAAGGTGTGGGTGTTCTTTCAAAAGCAGTCAGTCCAGAGGTAGCTAAAAAGAACGAGAAACACCAAGTGTTAGAGATATTGAAAAAGATGGCAGAGGAAAACAGAAAACATGAACAGCAAGTGATATCTAAAAATGTTGGTGCAAGTAACTCTGTATTATGTAATTCACAGGATAAAAATAAAAACAGTAATTTTGATGAGAAAAATTGCACTACTGACTTTATGGATAACAAAGAAATAATAAGCAAGTTGGCTAATGAAGGAAAGTCTGGCCATAAATTTTCATTCCTGGAAAACTGTGTTCCAACAAAGAGACAGAATCTAGAACATGTTGACAAACTTGTAGAACATGTTCCCAAAGAAAGTTTAGATAGAAAAGAAATATTATCTTTGGCGCAAGGCTCTAAGAAACCTATTATAAAGTGTCAAGAGATTCAGAAAATATTTGAAAAATTATCAGATCATGTTCCTTGTCCTAAAACAAAAGTTGGTGAATTGCCTAAGCTACTTTCACAGAAGCACCCAGCAAAAATTTCAGTTCTTAAAAAGAACACAGATCATATAAAAAGAAACCAGGATATAAAACAAACTAGAGATCACCACAAGTACATGACGTCATCAACTAAAATTGGGTCATCTCAAACGAGAAACTCAAACCTGAAGATGAAACATGTGAGAATAAACAAGCAAAATGAATGCTATCTCAGCTTGAAAGCAATCAAAGACAGTGGATCGTTTGAAGACGGCAAAACCAACAATAAGAATTGTGAAACATGTATGAAAGGCAATGAAGAAATGTATAAGTTGAAAACCAAATTAAAAGACCCGAAGGAAAAAAAGGAAGAAGCTACACAAGAAATCCATAACCCGATAACTAAACTCAAGAACCAAACAGAAGAAAGAGATTTTCTTCATAATGTTGCAAATCAACAAATTGTTGATAAATTATCTAGCAATAAGCAAAAAACGTGTATTGAAAAGCCTAGTATGTGTGCTGAAAAAAATGTACCAAAAACTCTCGAATTCAGTAAGGGTAGTACCTCTACAGGACCCAGCCAGGAGAGAAAAATGTATTGTCACAAAAAGAGAAAAGATAGTACAAACACATTACCAAGTCAACAACTAAAACTTTCACAAATGTTCAATCAGGTTGCTGAGCAAAAAGGTTGTAGAAGTCTGAAAGAAAATGCAAAGACAAAATATAGTGAAAATGAAATATCTGATAAAAATACCAGTGAAAAAAATTTGGAATCCTCCAGTACCTTACAAAGTAAGAAAGAACTTCTACATTGCCAAAAATCAAAGCTAAAAAATACGATTCCAATTATTTTATCTCCACCTACCACTTTGGCACTTGGACATTCAAATAAAGGATCAGATAGATCAATAAACGATATCTTACAGAAACTAAAAGAGAATGGATTAAAGAAAGAGACTGCACAAAATCAAAAGGAAATGCCTATTAAGCGTCTGATAGCTAAACTGACAAATAATGCATTTGAAAACATTAGCTCTGTTCCCATGCATTCACAAAGTGAAGAAGTAAGCCAAACAATTGTATCCGTCAATACTAAGACTACATTGAAGAATGCTTTCGAAAAAGCCAATCAGAATCAGTCAATAAATGATAATGAGCAAAGCAAAAATGAAGTTTCGAGAAACTCAAGTCTTATAGATGTGTCAGCAGAACAAAATAACGAAACTGAGAGAGAAAATATTTTAAGAAGCATATTAGATGATTTGAAAAAATGTTTCAAAAAAGATACAGACGGTGCTGTCGAAGGTACTCTCATGAGATTTCATGAACCTCTCAATGACAATGAAAACCGAGACGTTCAAAAAACCTCGTCAGCTCTTGACACCGTCAAAAATGATCAGCAGATTTCTCTTAAAAACATTTCACCTAAACCGAGCTCAGGAAAATCGAATAAAACGGTTGATCGTTCAATAAAAAATCTGACAAAAAGCAACTCGAATGTAAATACACGTGATGAATTTTGTATGAAAAATAAAATGAAATTATCAGACGTTAGAAGTTCTTCAGAAAAATTATGCAACAATGGATCAGACTTTATGGCTGGTTCACAAACTCTATCTTTCAAATCTAAACAAATGTTTGTACCTGAACTAAAATCTAAAGAAAACATTGATAATGACAAATTCATTAAGAACATATATGAAAAAATGCATCATGAAGCTAAAAGTCAGGCATCAAGCATCAAAAATTCTTTGATTGTATGTCCAGCGAATTCAGTACCTGGTCGTAAACTTAACGTAGAAACTAGACCATCTATGGGTAGAACAATTGTACAAAACTCCCAAATTTCAATGAATCAACAATTAATTTTCCAAGAAGAAGACCTGCTCACCAATTCTGTATTCTTACCAAAACTATGCGGCCTAGCATCTCAGTCAGCAAAATTTGACTCGCAGAATCAAAAAGATGAAAACAATAACAGATGCTTTGTCAAGGCTCAAATTGAAACTCCAGTTCAAGCTAATTGTCAACACGAAAAAAACGGGGAAGTGTCTATTGTTGAAAAAATAACCAATAATAAAACTGTGAATCTTGTTGAGAAATATGACATGTCTAATAATAGTCTTTTAACAGTTAAAGGACATTGTGCGGCAGATAAAAGTGAAGAGAGTGTGATTAAAAACGATGCAAAGTCTCAGGTGATAAGTATGAAAGCGAACGAATTACTATCTGATGAATTGGTTAACACAATACTAACAAAAAACTACGAGCAGTGCATGAGACTGAAAGAAATAAGATCAGCTGAATTTATTGCAAACTTCATAGACAAAATTGAAAACCGGAAAGCTAAGGGAGTAGTGAAAAAATACAGGAAAGGCAAGACGAAAATATACCGCCTGAAAAAAATGAAAAGAGTTAGTAAGGATATCGAGAAAGAAGAAAATTTGAACTTTGAAGATGTTTTCAAAAAACTTACGCAAGATTTTCAAGGACCAGCTAGGTGTAGCTCACCACCTGAAACTTTTGTATCAACACCTTCGTCATATATATCTGTCAACACCTTGAGGTCTGAAGCTTTGTCTACTGGGTCAAAAGATCTTGATTCGCCTGGGAGGAGACTACGTCAAGGTATGTAAGAACTTATAGTCAACGCCAAACAAAGTGGCGTGCACGTCATCACGATAAAAATTCCCCGACCTAATGCCTAGGTTTCTATCACAAACAATTGCTCTATTGCAGTTTCATATTAATGCGATATATAAATTGTAAAATGGTCATTACTCTCTTATTATGGTTAATAGTCATATAAACATTGTTATTAAAATATCACATAAGTTGCTTTCTGATAAATTTAGACGCATTATGCGAAATAAAATGTTTTGCAAACGCTCCAATCACTTATCGACATGTAAACGCACTAAACCGATTTCGCAGCGTTGACACATTGTCACCTTGAAACTTATTTAAACTGGGATCTGACATTTGTATTAATTTTGACACTGAATCAATTTGTGGCATTTCAAATCTTTATAAATCCTTTGGCCCCGCATACTGTAAATCAACAACTGTTTGTTTCAAAACAAAATTATTCATTTTACGAGTAGATAAAGGCAATTTTGGTATATAAAGATGCCCAAAGAGTTAAATTGTCGGTGTAAGGAACTCGTGGCCTCGTTAATGCACTACTTTGAGCAAGAAAGGGACAACAACGGGACTTTGTTGCCTTTAAATGCTGTTGAAGAGGTAGGTTACTAATAATTATATGTAATGTATATTAATAATAGTGAAATTTTATTTCATTTTTTGTAGCGTGTTGCTGCTGCTTTAAAAATTAGTTTAAGGACAGTTAGTCGTATTTCCGAGGGTGTGAAAAGTGATGCAAATTTAGAATCGCCAAAGAAAAAGCGGAGTTATATTAAACGTGTAACCAACACAGCGACATTGGATACAAGTGCCATTCGAGAAGTGATCTATAATATGTATCACAAAAGTAAGATCTTATTATAATAACTTATCAGAAATTTGCATTAATTTGTTAACTAAATTATAATGTCATATTACACATGGTTTCAGAAGAACAAGTTACGATACAAACTTTATGGTCTCGATTAAGAGATACGGCATTATTTGATGGTAGTGCCACGTCTTTAAGGCGGTTGCTTAGAGATCTTGGATTTAAGTGGCTTAAGGACAATCCGCGACGAGGGCTCATGGAACTACCAAGTATAGCTTTGAAAAGGGTGGAATTTCTAAGGCAATACAATCAAGCCAAGGTTGAGGCCTTATACCAGTTTGTCTTCCTCGATGAAACTTGGATATTTCAAAATGGGACCATAGGTCGCTCTTGGCAAAATGGAAACCAAAAAAGCGTGAAAGCTATTAAAACAGATGGTAAAAGGTATGTACTTTTACACAATTTGCACTATAAGATTTAAAACTAATATATTTTAGATACATTATATTACATGCTGGAAATGAAAATGGGTTTATTGAGGGTAGTGAAGCGATATTTTCTTCGAAAACAAAATTGAGCGATTACCATGGAGAGATGAACCAGGACAATTTTTTGAAATGGTTTCAACATCAGTTATTAGAAAAATTGGAGAGTCCATCTATGATTATACTGGATAACGCCCCTTATCACAGCACGATATTGAACAAAGTGCCCAACAATGCATGGACAAAAAAAAATATCCAAGACTGGTTGACAAATCAAAACATACCATTTTTAAACACAATGTTTAAAACAGAGCTATTGAGTATTGTTGCTCGGTACATAATGCTTCTTAATTATATATATTTTGGTCGACAGTTTATATTTCTTTTGTTTATTCCTATTCTTAAAATAACTGCTTTTTTAGAAACAAACCACCTAAAATATACGTGATTGATGAATTGGCGGAACAACATGGGCACAAAGTTCTTCGTCTGCCTCCTTACCATTGTATATTTAACCCTATTGAGTTAATTTGGGGCATAGCAAAAGGTTACTATAACAGACATATTGGTAGAGATGGTAACAGTGAAAAAGACTGTTTGGATATGTGGAACGAAGCTCTACAAACGGTTACCCCAGACATGTGGAAAAATAGTGTTCGACATACTGAGCAAGAAATTTTTAAATGGTATGAAAGAGAACGAATTTTTGATCGACCAGACATCGAACCTTTAATAATCAACTTTGAGAGTGATGAAGATTCAGATTCAGACAGCGCTGAAGAAAGAAACTCCGACTAACTTTATTGTACAGAAAAAGCTTACACCAGTAGCTTACCTAATTTTAGAATGCATTTTTCTGTATGAATTCTGTAAAATAAATACCATGCATAAAATTTGGAGGACCCCATTTGGATTTTTATTCAGTACCTTTAAGCTATCAATTAAATATGGTAGTTTCATAGTGTCATCTGATCAATAATTGTCATACTTAATGATTATGCAAGTACAGATCTATAATTTTATTATACTATTATTTTTGTTCTCATTTGAGGTTAATATTGCTTATAAACCTAGATATGTAAATAATAAATTTTATTATTTTACAAAAAGTTTGGCAACAATGTAAATTTTTCAACACACCCACCTTGATGACGTGCACGCCACTTTGTTTGGCGTTGACTATATGTGACAGATTTTGTTTGCTTCAAATTCAGAAGGTTTTGCTTTATTTTTGAAATGATGCGATGGTTCATTAGCTTGTTATCCTAAATTCATTTGGACTCTATCTGTTTCTGGTTTTTGCTAATGCATGTTCATTATGTGACTTTCAACCTCAGTTTTTGGCAACTGACAACGTGCTCAATCATTGTTGTAAACATGAAATATGATTACAATAACTTCCTCTCTAATACTAACTTAGCGAAGCACCCATTCAAAAAGTGGTAAAACTCAGTTGTAGCATTGGTAGCCAACTTGATGCTATATTCCGCGCCTAGAAAATTATCCGAGATAAAATGAGATACTTTAGCGGTATCTATGACAATTTTTCATAGCTGTTTCTCTATTTACTACTTATACTTTGAAAAGACGAAGACTTAGCACTTAGTTGTACGTGTTGCCTAAACGTCATGAGGCTTGTTATCAATCTTTCGCTCTGATGTGATGTAAAATCTGCTTCTGAGATGGCATTACTGGAGGTCCAAGCTGTAAGTTGTAACTGTTGATGATAATTACATTGGGTTCTTGTCTCAAATACACTTAATAATTGAGATTCAAAGCTAGAAATTAGTTGCGCATCCACTTTTTCATATCCATTCTGGAAATTACTTATACATATTTGCTGAATTTAAAAAATGAGAGAGATAAATAATTATATTATTACAAGCCATATACATGCTAACAGTAATTACACACAACGCGGGCGCGGTGATGATTTCCCGTAATTCTCCTCAGTTTTTCGTATAATTTATAACTTTGAACATAACCTCTCTTCAGCACAACATATAAATAACCCGTCATATTCAGCATATTCAGTAATGATTTTCTCACACAGCAAATATCACTGATTTTATACACATGCAGACCATCATCCAGACGCGATCTTGTTATTCAACCAACTTTCTTCTCACAGGTAAAAACTACAGACACGGATCCGTCGTTGCACGGATGACAAAACTATGCAACCAATAATGCGTCTAGATTAGTTGAGTGATTCCTTCATAGATGGACATTCACAATGATCCTAGTGGACAAACGTGGAATGACTGTTTGCGCCCTAAAAACTACCTAGTCTGCAAGTTGACATTTTATAACTGGGACATTTAAAACGTATATGTAAACTTAAGAAAAAAATAAAAATTTGTTAACTTTAGATAGATACAAAGTATGTACATACATATGTATAATATAATATGTATGTGTATACATATACATAGTAACACAAAACAATCAATTAAAAAGTCACTTTAAGGACGCAAAAATTCATATATTGTCGTTTGTCTCCTCTTTTTCTTTAAAATGGCGTCTTGAAATCGTAATTCTAATTTAGAAAGAAGCTCCAAAGACTTTGTATGTCCCTTCTTTTTCCATTCAAATGGCTTTCGACATCCATTTCTTTCGAGGAACTTCTTTGTGTTTAATTATATCTGCAACTTGCGTTTTTCCAATATTGAAACGCTTGGACAATTTTGTTTTTTGTCCGGTTAGGAGAACATTTTCTCGTGTCCGCGTCCGTTCAAGAGAACGTTCGCCCAAAAGAGAAACAGCTGTGACATAAGATACAGCATCTCATTTTATTTCGGGAAATTTTTGGACGCAAGAATATAGCATTAGGTTTTCTTCAGGTAGAATACGTTGTACTCATAGCGCTACTACAAATGAATCAACATCACATATAAAAAACATCATATTTTGAAGGTTTCAACAAGATTTCGAAAGATAAGTCCTTGCTGAATTATGAAAATACATTTGATAGTATCAGCGCATCGGACAGAGATGAAATAAAAATGAAAATCCAGGATATATTTCTGCAGATTTTCAGCGATTTGACAAGTGGAAGACGAGCAGCGTTGAAGTTTAAAAGACGATGTTACGAAAACTGCATTATGAAGGATGGAATGTAAAGTCTTGATTTTGAGATGAAAGCAAAAGAATAACGGATTTTTGATTTCAGATTACAGTTGAAACCTGAGGGAGAGGCACTTGAATCGATGCTCAGTTCCACTGTGACAAGGAGTCACATGAATTTCAAACTGGTGATATTTATAATGAAGAAGATACAAGTTTTGCTAGAAACGAATAGCAAACTGACGAAAAGGTAACTATAACCATTGATCGACTTTTTTTCCAAGAAAATGCTCAACCTCTAATCATATTAGCAAGTTTCCCCAAAACAATTGTGATAATCAATGAAACCGTTTTTTTTTAAATTCTTCTTTAATGTCACATCAGTGTATCATATTCGTTCTATTAGTTAGTGAAAAATTGTGAATTGAGTGTGCTAAAAATCAATTTTCTATATCGACGGCTATATACAAACCTTTCTGTGTACACTTAGGTAATTTGGGACGCTAAGTTTAAATATAATCGTGAAAAAATATTAAAGGGTCATAGTGCCAAATTAAAGGCGAACAATTGGTTAAAAAACTAGTCACTCGGGGCCACCCGTGAATCCTAGCACTAAATTGACATCAAATTATGAATCTACGCATTCGGTTTCCCTGGAAAACAAGGTCATAGTCGCGCAACTGTTTTTGAAGATTTTTATTAGACGTTCTCATCATGAGCGAAAAAATTGTATAGAGACTAATGTCTTTTATCTTATAATATTTGTCCTTTCATATGTCATGTAATATATTGGTGAATATATCACATATTTTGGATCTCGGTGTACTACAAAAAAAATCTTTTGACAAATTGTGGTAATAAACCATCCAAATTGTGTAAAATATCACGCTTTATTTAAGACGTATGATAAAGGTAACCATTCAGATTTTAACACAACATGCTTGAAAGATAACAAAAATGTTTATTAATATTGCGTGCTCCATTCCCCACTTTCTCTACAAATTGTATTGCTAGATACACATTATATTTAGCTCCTGAAAATTGCGTCACTCTCACTTGGCGCAACTCAAATTGCATATTTTCGTTTAAATGTTGGAATTTCGGAAGTTCATCAGATCAGTGCATAGCAAATCGAGAAATGATAGTTTGACACTAGCGCGATTAAGCCTACTGAAACCAGGGATGTATCAGATACACTTTTGCTAGAGCTAGATTGTTTACCATAGTAAGTATATATTTGTGAATTTTTTTGGTATACTACTGCAACTGCATAACAACGAACGATTCTTGAATAAAAAAGTCATGAATCACATACAATAATATAACAACTAATGCATCATTTTTTTCGATGTGACTGGCGTCACTTTTCTGGGAGTTTTTATATCAATTGTTTTTTCTACTCTTCTCCTTTTCTTCTTACTACTTTTTGTCATTTCTTTTTGCAAACAAAATGAATATTTTGTGGAAAGTATTGTTGAGATTGTGGGTACTGTCAATGCTGCACCTGACTATATGATAATCAGTTTCCAGGGGGAAGTGTTGCATACACTTTCAAAATTTCATAGCGTATCAATGAAAAAGTAAACAGTTTAAAATGAAACAACAACTGTGCCGAAATCACTACTAAAAACATGCTGAAAAGCCTGTATTAAATTGGATCAATTGTTCACTGAGAAGCAGTTCTTTTCCTGAAAATTTGAAATGCTCTACAACAACACCAGTTCCCAAAATAAAAAATTCTAAAAGATGCAGCGATATGCGACCAGTAAATGTGTTATCAGACATTGAAAAATTATTAGAGTCCATAGTGCATGACCAAGTAATGCAGTTTATAGAAGTAAACAAAATTTTAGTGGAGGCGCAAGCAGGCTTTCGAAAAAAATATTCCACAGAAACGGCTTTCCAGTTTGTAACTGAGAATTGGAGAAGAGACATAGACTCAGAAGAAGTTATCATAGCAGTATTTTTGGATTTGAAGAGGGCATTTGAAACGATTGTTAGAGATATTTTGTTAGGGAAATTGAAGGCATATGGTATATCAGGAAGTGTTTTAGATTGGTTTAGAAATTATTTGTCTAAAAGGATGCAAGTTACAAAAGTTAATGACACTATTTCATCAAAAATCGAAAATACGTTGGGTGTTCCACAGGGCAGTATCCTGGGATCACTTCTTTTTATTTTATACATAAATGATTTAGCTGCCATAGTCAAAAAATGCAAAATTCAGATTTTCGCCGATGACACTATGATTTATGTAAGTCCTAAAAATATTCAGACTGGTATCTCATATAAATGAAGACTTGAAACTTGTCTCAAAAGGGTTAGCATCTAACAAACTCAAATTAAATACAAGTAAAACGAAAGCTATGTTAATCGAAAAAAACAATACTGAATATTGATGGTGAAGATATTGCATTCATAGAAAATTTTAAATACCTGGGGGTTTTTGTTGACTCTAGATTAATTTTTGATATTCATTATGAAAAAGTTATAAATAAGATTGATAGTAAAGTGGGATATTTATCAAGAGTTTCTGGATGTCTGAGTTCATATAGCAGAAAAAAATATCTATAATAGCATCAATCTTCCAGATTTCTTGAACTGTTCGACTATTCTATATTTAGCAAATGAAAGACTGCAAATTTTACAAGACAACTGCATGAGAAAAATACTGAAAAAAGATAAATATACTTCAATTAGAAAAATGCTTAGCAAATTAAAGTGACTCAATGTAAACATTTTTATCAAATGTGTTGTAATGATATTCATTTATAAAGTAAAAAATAATATATTTCCATCAAGTCTAACTAATTTAACATCTTAAAATGCCGACCATCATTCACATAATACCAGAAATAAAGATGTCTTCATAGAATTTTTCACGAATATAGTAGGAAACTTAGCAAATAATATCAAACAAAATGCTGATATTCATCTGCATGAAACAGGACTGAATAATTCATTTGTATTAACTGAAGTAGACTATCAGGATGTTTTCAATGCCATTATGACTCTAAAAAATAAAAAAAGCCCTGGAGTTGACGAAATTAGAGCTGAACATCTAAAGATACTGGCCAAACAAATAACAGAACCACTTGCTTATATCATTAACAAATCCTTCCAATCTGGAGTATTTCCATCAGCTTTCAAGACAGCAATCATCATACCTATCTATAAATCTAATGATAATACGGACGTCACTAACTATCGACCTATTTCACTTATATCAAGTTTAGCTAAAGTTTTTGAGAAATTACTCCTTAATAAAATGATTAATTTTCTTAATAAATTCAAAATTCTAAATTCAAATCAATATGGTTTTATAGCGGGCAAATCTACAACAGATGGGGTATTAAGTATAGTAGATGAAATAATCCAAAATATAGATGGAAAAGTACCATCGATATGCGTATTTGTGGACTTACAAAACGCGTTTGACACAGTTAACCACAATATACTTTTGGAAATCTTAGAAAGAATAGGTTTTTGTGGAAAGATGTATACTTTAATGGAAAATTATTTATCAAATAGACCGCAATCAGTAAAATTATTAAGCTCGTATAATAAAGAAATGTTTGTTAAATGTGGTGTTCCACAAGGTACAATTTTGGGTCCTCTGTTATTCAATATTTATTTAAACGATATATTCAAAATGAACAGTACTGGTAAAATAGTCAGTTTTGCTGACGATACTGCTATACTCTATAAAGGTAAGGATTGAAACGACTTAAAAGATATTATCCAAAATGACTTTTGCAAAATTATTCAGTGGTTTAATAACCGAAAATTAACAATTAACTTTACTAAAACTCATTTTGTACCATTTTCATCACTATCTAATCATCTACCAAAATATAACCACCTTCGGTTTAAGGTAAATGATAAAAATATAAAAATCAATAGATTAATGATACAAAATATTTAGGAATTTATCTAGATCCCCACTTGAGATGGGATGTACATATTTCTCACATACTAAAGAAAATTAGATTCATAGCATGTAAAATAAAATTTCTAACCGGTATATTAACTGAATATTATCTACGAATAATATATCAAGCTTTAGTCGAGCCACACATAACATATGGTATAGTAGTATGGGGTGCTGCATGCACGACATACTTTAACGATTTAGATGTACTTCAAAGAAGAATTTTAAAATCAATGTTAGGCAAATCAAAATTATACCCAACTAATGACTTATATAATGATGCAAAAGTATATGATACTAAACAACTTTACTTCTTACATACCATCACTCATTATCACAAAACTATTAGTGAACACGACATAATTAAACATAATCATAAAACCAGATATAAATTACGCGCAAAAAATGTTCCTAAACCAAACAAATCCCTAATGAAACGATGTCACCTGTATATAGCTCCAAAATTGTACGAACATTTACCAAATAATTTAAAACATTAGGCTTCAAAAAAAAAAATTAAAAAAATTTATTAACACGATTGGGAGAAATCAAATTAATAAAATAATCTCAAATATTACACAATAAATGCTCTACCATTCTTACCAATAATTTCTTTTTTCTCTCTATTTTATTATATTTTGCAATTCAACATACATATGATCCATGCACAGGCGTTGTCCTCCTATGGATATATTATATTTATTTACTCGTTTCATCTTCCCTGTATTTTAGAGTAAATAAATATTATTATTATTATTATTATTTAATGACCAAAAAGTATAACATATGCTACAAATCTGTATTCCATCAATTGTTGATTGCATATAATAAATTATACACAGAGATAAAAGACTAGAAAACTTTGACAAAATTTAAAGTAAAATTGAGAAATCTACTACAATTATAGCTTGCTCAGCATTTACATCATACGAGTACATCATATGGCTTAAATTTACTAATTCTAAGTTGTTTACAATTATTTGGATTTATGTAGCCAAATGTGCTAAATAAATCTTCTTCCTACTACTACTACTTTACAATACAAAAATATAAAAAATAGAAGCAACGCCTGCGATACGCTATCCAAAAATTTTCTAGGTACAACCGTTATCCTGATTGACTATGAGCTCTAAATCTATACGATTTTCTTATTTCATGGCCGATGGGACTGAAGACGCGTTATTTTTAATCATCAACTAGGTACTGAATTTATTTAACTAACCGTATTTATATCACGTTTAAAGTAATTTTTTTAGTTTTCATGTCACTCAAAACATTTTTGTATGGAATTCAACCTCGTTCATATGTCAACCACGGGCACGTTCGCAACGATCGATTTGTTGAACTCAATTTTCAATGACTCGGTCACACATTTAGCCACAAACGGCTGCTATCTCTCGTTCAATATTGGCTCTGAGCTCCTCTAACTACGCCGGCTTGTTGGCATGGACCAATGATTTAATGTGGAGTCTAGATGTGTTAAATCACACGATCTAGGCGGCCATTCGACAAGACCATTTCTCGATATAACACGTTTACCGAATTTTGATTTCAATATGTCGATTGTTTCATCTGCTGTGTGACTTCTGGCACCGTCTCGTTGAAACCACATATCATTAATGTCTAGCCCATCTAATTGACCAAAAAGATAACGTTGCAACATCTCCCTGTAGCGATCTACGTGACGGTCATTTTCAACAACAAAAAAAAAGCGGCCCAATGACACCACCGACATGAAAACCACACCGTATAAAATGTTTTCTTCTCCGAATGTTTTGACATTGATAGTTCGGTATTTGATTTAAAGGTGCGTTCACAGTGAAAGTTCAAAGTTGTCAAGTCCCTTTTGGAAAATCCGATATATAAGTATTTTTATTATATATTATAAGCTAGTGGGCACTGGAAATCACAAATACCGTATATTCACTCACATCCAGTTATTTCGTTCTCGCCACAAATGAAATTGATTTTTTACAGGGAATTGTATTATCAACTAAAAGATATGATCAGTGGACAGGGCGTTGTAGACAGAGCTATTAACTTGGTGAGTTGTCTTTTAGACGTCGGCATGTGGGCATTGAATATTATAGCCCAGAAAGGATTGATTTTTGGAAACTTGAAGATCATGCTATCCTCTGGTGAAACAATAAATTGTAATGTACCAGGTAACACTTGCATTTTAACACTTTAGAACATAAAAAACGTAAAACGTCTTATTGCATCATAGTTGAATGTTTAAGTTTTAGCATTGATGCTAAACTGCCAATTTTGTGTAATTGTTCTCCCACACATTTTTCTTTAATTTTCTCTTTTATATATATTAACTAGTTTCGTAGTTATGATAACGCCTGTTTAATTTTGTAGGATTTTCTAAATGTGGAGGTGATAAATGATTTTTTAATTTGAATATAAACACGAGAACTAAATAACATATATTCTTTCGAAACAGACTTAATCCTAGTTGTTTTTATTTAAAATGTCTCTCATAGCTTTACTTTGCAGAATTTGTAATTCTATCTCTTCTATTCCTCTACCTTTCTGTTGAATGTTTCGTAAGATTTCATCTACCGTCAAGACAGTCTTTTTCAAAATGCACGACAAAAAATGTCAATAAAAGTCACTTGAGTACTTAGATATATTATTTTTTAGGAACGCTGATTCCTCAGGACATCAATGATATAGTAGAAATCCACTCAGACGCCTACTTTATACTAGTCGTTGAGAAGGAGGCAATTTTCCAGAAACTCTTAGAGGAAGATATTCCAAACAAACTTACAAGACCGTTCATAATGATAACTGGAAAGGGATTTCCCGATTTGAATACTCAACTGTTCCTGAGGAAACTGTGGATTATTATGAGTATTCCAGTTTTCATCCTAGTTGATGCAGATCCACATGGGATCAATATTATGCTGAATTATAGATTTGGATCTGTTGTAAGTACCTAACTTGACCTGTTAGTAGGTATGGAGAGATATAGGATATAGAGACCGACAAAACTTGAAACTGAATTTTATCCTTATACCCAATTGGGCTAAAATTTGATATAGGGCTAGGTTGGCAACAGTGGATTTATGTTTGGGACATTTTTCTTACATTTCCTATAATGATTTTCACACGTTTTTGTATCTATTGGAAACTGCTATAAGTGTTCTGAGAGACCTTGATATGTAATAATATTTCTAGGCAAACGCTCATGTGTCTCACCACTTGGCAGTACCGAAAGCACGGTGGTTAGGTCTGTTTCCTTCGGAGATAACAACGTTCAACGTTAAGAATCAAGCAATGTCTTCCAATGAACAGAAAATGGTTGAAAAGTTGTTGAAGACTCCTTATATGGAAGACAACCCTGGAATTGTAGAGGAGCTGAAGATCCTGAAACAAAATAACCTCAAGGCTGGACTTGAAGGACTCATAAAGACTGATTTATTTCTAAGTCAAAAGTACCTGCCGTATAAGTTTCTTCACCAGAAATTTATATAAATATCCTTTGTGTTAATATTGTGATGTTTGATTGTGAAAAATCTAATTGACTTTTTGTTAAGTTTCATTCTTGATGATATTAAATAGTGAAGGTTTTGTTTGGCTTTTATTTTGGTGAGTTATTTATAGTGCCCCACTTCCAAGATGTACGAGGGTGGTCCCAGAAGTACCCGACCCAACGAAGAAAACACAAACACGAACGTTGCAATAAGTTCGCGTAATACTCGCCGTTAATAGTTTTACCTTTTTCAAGATAGTCAATGAAAATTATCCCACGTGTGTCCCAAAAAACCGACACCATAACCTTGCCTACAGATGAAACGGTCTTCGCCTTCTTTGGAGCCGGTTGTCCCTTTTGAGTCCATTGTTTTGATTGCTCTTTTGTCTGTCCAGTTCAGCTTTTATATTGGTTGGGCTGAAGCCTTTGAAATAAAAGTATTGTACCACATAACGATGACCAATTTTCTCCATTTTCACAAATTCACTGAAAACGTTCAGTATTGATGGCTACCAAACAAATACTAAACAACGTGGCGTCTCTAAACTTGACACATATGCTTTATAGGTTGCATACTTTCTAATACAATGATATTTTTCAAACAAACATCGCCATCTCTAGGCCAGGCCGGGTTCTTCTGGGACCACCCTCGTAGGTACATAAACATACACCTAGTTCTGGGTTTGACAGATTTAGAATATCCTGGATTCTGCAGCTTCAATAGCAGTATTAACCCCCACTTCACCGGTAGAGGAGAAACTTTCGAAATTCCTCGGTAAGTGCTCACTTACATCATATCAAAGAACCAAACACACGAAACTCATATACAAAGGGTACTATGAAAGTTTTGTAATACAGCTTTATTTATTGATTTCGTTCAAAGTAATTTCCACCGCATTCAATAATACACTTCTTCATCCGCCAAAACCAGTCCTTAAACCAGCACTGAAAAGTTTCACCCGTTTTCCTTTTAGCTTCATTTTCACATGCGGAAACAGTGCAAAGTCACGGGGAGCAAGATCTGGACTGTAAGGAGGGAGCCCAATAAGTTTCAGTCCAGTAGAGGTCAAATACTCGGTGCAGGGTTTGGCGCGGTGAGTTGGAGCTTTGACAGGGTGGAGGTACCAAGTGTCCATTCTTGACTTTGACTGCAAGTTTTTCGCAGACTCTATGACTTTAGGCAGGTACTGTTCCGTGTACCACTTTGCTGTGACTGTCTTCATCCAAGACACGAACTTTGTTTTGAGCCTTGGTCGGCACATCGTAATAATAGAGCCAAGTATCGTCATCTATCGCGATGCTTTCACATACCGAGATTGCCTCATCAAACAGTTTCAGCATCTTTCGGGACCAAGTCGTACGACGAGTCTTCTGCTCTTTCGTCAGACTATGCGGTACCCAGAGAGAACAAATTTTCCTTACGTGTAAATAGTCATGCAGAATTGAATGGATAGCAGGTGCATGAAGGTGTAAGGTCTCCTCTATCTGTTGGTATGTCACTCTTCGGTCTTCGTCAAGCATTTTCCTCACAGCAGTAGCGTTTTACTCGCGGCCTTCCTTCCATCTCAGCGTCCTCCACAGTGAAATTGCCCCTTTAAAGGTCTCTGTACCACCTGAATGTACGATCAGGACAATCATTATTTAATGCGTCATTTCTTCTAAGCACTGGTCTATGCTTAAATCACGCGTAAAGTTATACCGTAAAACTACCCTTATCTCACTACGTGACCACGATGCCAAAGTCCGCACTTTACACTGCCAGTACGAATGAACAACTAAATCAACAGACGTGCTGCTGACGACTATTATGCACTCATGGACATGACTCAACATGCAGCCTCCTACGTCCTTTTGTTAAATCATATTGCAAAACTTTTATAGTACCCTTTGTATTGGTATCCCTAACTGAAAGAATAGTTTCTCCATAGTAACTTCCAATCCCTTTAGGTTTTATTTTTGCAACAAAAGGTCCGTCTCCACGGTCTAATCCGCAGTTTCTCGTTTATAATATACTAAGTGACATATAAATCCGAACACCCAGTTTAAATGGTTTTATTTTAATAAAAGTTGGTGAATGTATTCATCTTACTGTAAATAACAAGTGAAAAAATTTTCAGCCTTATCAATTGGACATTCCGGTTTTTATACTGCTTTTTTTTAATTCACTAACGCTCTAAAAATGAATATTTCAGCCGCAGTAAAGAATCAACGTTGGCGGATTTTGGTTCTTGACATCCTTTACGATCGGTTACGGTTTCGTCAACTTAGTGAGTTTGATAGGGGCCGCATAGTGGGACTTCGGGAAGCTGGACTTTCTTTTCGGGCAATTGCAGTTAGAGTGCAAAGAAGTGTAGACACTGTGGTTAGGTGTTGTCAGGCATGGCTTCGAGAAGGCCGTACGCAAAGAGCAAGGGGCACTGGACGCCGCCGTAGAACAACAGACCATGAAGATCGCCGCCTAAGATTATTGGCCTTAAGGGACCGTTTCTCCACTACCAGGTCCATTGCAAATGAATGGTTTGCAGAACACGGAAGACCTATTGGCATACGAAGTGTTTACCGACGAATGAGAAGTTTTGGCTTGTTTTCATACCGGCCACACTGGGTCCTCCCTTTAACTCGAGAACACCGACGTAATCGCCTTGAGTGGTGCAGACAACGGTCACTCTGGGATCAGGAATGGAACAGTATTGTCTTTAGTGACGAGTCTCGATTTTGTTTAGGCATGCACACATTATTAGAGGTCAAAGGGCTTTAAAGCAGTGCAATCATTTTGAAATTTTTATCATTTACTTATTATGCTTCATTAAGTACTTATACAAAATTTTATTAAAATAAAACCATTTAAACTGGGTGTTCGGATTTATAGGTCACTTAGTATATAATAGAACGGATTGGAATAATATTCAGAAGATTCAAAGAGATTGATGTAGAATAAAACAAAGTCCATAAAAATTAAAATTTATTCCCTGAGAGTCGTACTTAAACACTATTTTATATTAACAAATATAAACATGCATATTGCACATTATAAAACATTAATGCCTGCGTTGCAAACGATCATTATTTCATCACTAAGTAGCAGTGATTAAAAACAACATAAAACAAAATGTACGATAAGAAAAATGAAGTAAATATATTGCCTAAGGCACATACATCAACATCTGCAACAAAGATTTTTGAAACAAAATTGTAAAACCAGATAAATGAAGTACATACATTGCATAAGGCACACATTAACATATAAAATGTGTTGTCTAATGCACACACTTCAAAAGGTTTTAAAAAGTAACTGAAAATAGTGATAAAACAACAGAATTTAAAGTTGTTGAGCCTAAAAGGTAAATAAGTATATTGTATAAAGCACATAAAACACATTTTTATAAAAAACAATTCTATACAATTGAAACAAAAACACTTTTAACAAAAGGTAAAATTTATTGCCTAGGGCACACGTCAAAGATTTTTGTAAAACAAAATTGTAGAACCACAAAAATGAATAAATTGCTTAGGGCATGCATATCAACATAAATTAAAACATACTTTTAATAAAACAAAACATAGATTTTAAAATTTGTTGCCTGAGGCACACACTTCAGAGTTTTCGAGTAATTGAAAACAGTGATAAAACAACAGAAAATAAAATTGTTGTGCCTAAAAAGTAAATAAAGCACAAAAACACATTTCTATAAAAAACAATTCTATACAATTGAAACAAAAACACCTTTAATAAAACAAACTGTAAAATTTATTGCCTTAGGCACACATCTAAGATTTTTTTTAAACAAAAATGAATTAAATAAATTGCCTAAGGCACACACATCAACATATGCAACAATATTTGGTAGTAAATTAAAACATGCTTTTAATAAAACAAAATGTACAATTTAAAATTTCTTGCCTAGGGCACCCACTTCAAAGAATTTTCAAAAGTCATTGAATGACAGTGATTAATCAAAAGAAAACAAAATTGTCGAGTCTAAAAGGTAATTGCATCAAGCACAAAAAGTACAACTTTTTAAAAAACGATTTTAAAAATTGAAACAAAAAATACCTTTAATTTAACAAACGTTTAAATTTATTGCCTTAGGCAAACATCTAAGAGTTTTTGTAACAAAAATGAATTAAATAAATTGCCTGAGGCACACACATCAACATATGCAACAATATTTGGTAGTAAATTAAAACATGCTTTTAATATAACAAAATGTACAATTTAAAATTTGTTGCCTAGGGCACCCACTTCAAAGAATTTTCAAAAGTTATTGAATGACAGTGATTAAACAAAAGAAAACAAAACTGTCGAGTCTAAAAGGTAACTGCATCAAGCACAAAAAAACGATTTTAAAAAAATGAAACATAAAACACACCTTTAATAAAACAAAACGTAAAATGCAGAATTTATTGCCTAAGGCACACATCAAAGATTTTTTTAAACCCATTAAATGGCAGTATTCAAAACCAAACTTAATCAAAGGAATCTCTCGAAGACATCTCATACATTTTAATCATATCCTCAATTGACATGTTCGGGTCAAATATATCGGAATCATATCCAGATGTGGAATCGTTTTCATGCTGCATCATCCACTCAATCATATTGTGATCAACTTCGTTCAGATCAGCTATGCTCAAATCTACCTGATCATCTAGTTCAGTGCCATCGATGTACTGCTCTGGAATGTCCAAAATATGTAGCTTGCTATTATCGATCTGTCTCTTATACAAAGTTGAGGAGCTGTGCGATCTCTTCAGATCGCGTCGTTTTTTTCTGATAGGCAAAGTAACCAGAGAGGAAGTAGTTAGGTTTTTCCTCAAAGAATATCTTCGATTAAAGTTCCTCGAAGGGAAGTATATAGTTCTGAGGGATTTTGACTGTGATCCTAAATCATCTTGACTGCTAGTCAAGTCTACGACTGGTAAATTTTGGTACTGTTCCGGTACTGTATAGCTACCAATGTATATGATAGAATCTGTTGAAGGGGCACGTTGAATTTCTTGTTTACTACTCTCGTTTTCAGTCCATTCTGTATCGCTTTTCAAGGCTTTTGTCAGTCTCGCTTTAGGCTTTCGCATCTCTTTGTACCTTTTGCTGACACAGCCTGGGCATTTTTCCCTACAATGATGCTTTTTCGGCGGAGTCTTCAACAACGATTTTCGCGGCATCTAGAAGAAATGCTGTTATTAAATGGAAAAATCAAAGAGCTAGTAGCTCACCATTGAAGTTTGCATACTCTTTCTGATAGTAATACCGCTGGGCTTCATCGACAATCGTAATTTTATAAAATATCTGCTCAAGTTTGACGCATACCGTCTACGATTTTCCGTTACTGGAGACAAATTCAAGAAATGAGGAGAAATCTAGTGTTTTTTTCGGTCTAAGTGTTCGCAACGCTGCGGGGTAGGTCAAATACACCAGAAATACACACTTCTTAATTTACGGTCCCGTGATAGCTGGTAGGTCATTTGCGCTGCCATAGGCGTAACAAAAAATATTGTTTAGGGTGATTAACAGGAATACGCACAAATTGCAGAATTACATTACGATGTGCTCGATAAAACGTTAGTGCAATATTTTCAAGTTCTGTTAAAATATGTATTTGGCTAAAAGATACAATATTGATTTTAAAAATGTATTTATTGTTTTTGTTGATTCGAAAAATTTAATATTAAATAGTTAACAATTTTTTACAAGTACATGTAAGTAAGTGTACCTAAGTTTAAGCCGTTGAAAGTTCATATATTACACAACTACATGTATTTTTAAAAATTCATATTCATCCGTTATATCTCCACGATACTAACGATAGTAATATAAATGGGTATTATCAACGTGAGGCTTAGGCGTTGACATTTTCTGAGATCGCTTACCTTGAGAGATGTATCTCATTTCCAAAGCATAAGCCGTTTCGTGTGCTTCAGCGGTACTACTCATACCTATCTGGCTCTAGGTGTACCTATGTGATGTTTTGATTTTACACAATATCGTGGCAATATTCGGATAATAAGCATTATCCATGTTTCTCCATATTTTTTTATCATTGGAGTTTTAGCAAAAGAGATTCCATGTAAAATCTAGGCCTAGACATTTCATTTGAATCATCTATTTTCAATATATCAGTGGAATGTATCTTACTCTGTTGTATTCGAGTTCTATATCACTTTACCTTTGATTTGTAGATAAAAAGGACGCAATTTCTTTTGCAAAGACTCCAAGTTACATTTTTTTATGAAAACATTGGTGTTTTCCTTTTGAAGCGTTCGCTGTTATAGGATCCAAGTGTAAAAAATGGAAAGGAACTTTCAACATTTTTTCAGATTGTCTATATATTACACTGTGTCACACAGCGTTTAGGTATGTAATTAATCTAAGCAAAAATGTACACTTTTGGATGCAAATGCTTACTTCTCACAACCATTTTCTTGATTAGTTTTGGATAATTGCTATATAACTGCCTCTGAAGAAATTTCTAATTATCTTCATATTCATACAAATCATTCAGGCAACCTTAACCATGGTAGTTACGAAAGTAAAGGCCTGCATTTTTTTATCTGAATACCAAAAAAAAAACAAAGTTGCAGTGCAGCGAAAATAGCTCGATAAGAGCCTGAACATAAGGTGAGGATTAGAGAGAGAAGCACAAGAAACAATATAGGTGTTAGAAAGAGTGCGCCGATGGCAACGCGCTAAGCCGCAGCTGCGTCCGTGGCCTCACCACTAAGTTGCTAGGCAACGAGGTGCTTCTATCTCTTTCTAACACACGTATTGCACGCTTCTCTTACGACGTCAGTGATATATGGATTTCACTCCATATTATCGTTTGACTAATTATTTGTATTTCAATTCAGAATGCCAGAACTGTGCCAAAAGGATTAGGGCAGACTTCACAGACCAGGCATTTTTACGGCATACAATTGAATACTAGCATGTAGCTGATAGTAAGATGCCGTTATATAATATTCACATTACTTCCTAATTCTTTTGGATTATTTCTGACTAATAGAAGACAGAATTACTGTAGAATCAACGTCCTCATATATTGAACCAAAAGTATACTTAAAAAATATGTACCTGGTTAGGCGTGTGTTCTTTCGTTCTAAGCCAAGCTTCTAAAGCAGTTATCTTGTTCGTTTGGTTTTTAGCAGTGTACACAAAAAATAGGCTCTGCGATTCGTTTCTTATAGTAGATTTTTTATCTACCAACACGATTAAAACCAGTTATAATTGACATTATCTGTACTACTTTCAACATAGGGATATCGTTTGATGTTCAGAAAAAAGAAGCTGTCCCTTTTAGGGCTGATAGACCTATTATTTTTTAAGATCCTTGCGTATGTGTCATCTGTATGAAAATTGGTGAATCCAGTACGTAGATTTCAAATACAATTTTTAAAATATGATTAGGTTACTCTTGTACAGATGGCGCCTATAATTCTACCAAATTAAATGCATGAGTGTCAACACTTGCTCTTATCCACCGGAAGTCAGTGCTACTTGGACTGTAGTTGAACTATTACATCATAGATGGCAATCATAGTACTACTGATATATACATATGATGAGTAGCAACACTTACTTGTATGCACCGGTAGTTGGTTCTATCACAAAATGCAATCTGTCAAAAATGTCAGTTGGAAGTTTATTTGAATTTTCCATATTATATTCATGTTCGATTCCCCCATATTTGCAATTTTAAGTTCTGTAGTGTCTAAGTAAAAGGGAATAGAAGAGGAACTATGAAAATCTTGGCGTATCCTAATTTGAAGCTAACCTGATGTAGTTGCAAGTGGCTTAAAATTTTCCTGTTTTGAATACGGCGGTGAACCTTGATTCTTTTCCTGAACATCAACTTTTGTTAAATGATACTGCAACATATTGCTTTTTGTATAATTAGACTATGTTAGATATTAAGGTAATAATTATTTCAGGAATGGTACGTGGGTTCAAAATAAAATAAATCCCATTTTCGAGAATATTCGATTGACGTAATTTTGGTGGTGAAATAAAACCAAAATTGTGAACTTTTTACCTAAGTAATTCAAGTCTTTCAAGTAAATGAGTGCAGCTACCATTCCTGATAGGTATGTTAAGTTAGCACAAAATATAACACGCACTACTGAACTAAAATTCAAAACGTCGGGTCTATTGCAAAACGGAAGCATCTTCTTAAAAATATTACAAGTGTCAGCTGCATTATACTTTGTACGAATACATATAGACTTACAAACATTTTTACAGTACCGATTTAGCATTTTTTTATATTACGCAGCTCTATCGAACGTCTACGATCTAGTCTACTTTAAAAATGATTTTGATATGTCCATAAATTATTACGTTTTTTAATTTAATTATTGCTTTTCTGTACGTACCCCAGCAAGTTTTATATTTCAACTTTTTTTTATACTCACTCATAAGATTAAGCGGGTAGGAACCTGGCGTCAGAGTGGTTGAAAAATTTTTTAAACAAATTACAAAACATTTAGCTCCGAAAAGTGTTTTTAGGTTGTTTCAACAAAAAGGTTATTTCCTTAAAAGGTGACTGTTTTCGAGATGTAAGCGATTTTGTCTGGAAAACCTTAAACATTGTCATTAGTAACATATACACCAGAGCTTAGTAAAAAGTTGTCCATATTATTTTAATTTACGGTGAGGGTGTCTTCGAAATGCTACCGAGGCTTCACGAGTGCATGCAGATCGCTTTTCAAGATCCTTCGTGATTTTTTTTTGAGAAGCTCAAAATGCTGTGTTGTTTTTGTTGAGGCGCGTACGTGTAATGCACTTGTAATATATTTAAGTCCAACGAATATTCGATTAAGAACCGATGTTTATATACTATGTACAACGATAACACTTAGTCCATTCTATCACATTTCAACTTATACGATAATATTAAAACAGTAACTAAGAATAATCAACAAAGAAAATATATTACCCTGTTATATTTTTTAAGGCAAATACTTAGGTAGCAAAATCAATAGTGCCCAAATTTTCGCGAATGATTTTACATAGAAAGTAACATTTTAGATAATTATATATTATGTATTTTAAATGCTCAACAACTTTTACATCTGTTTATTGTCTAAAGGAATGGTAACATATCAACATATTTTAAACCATTACCATTTTTTATTTTGCATATTTGGAAGACGTCGATCTTTGAAAATTTGGGCATCTATATAATACAGGGTTAGTAGAAAGTCCTTGTCAGTAAAACTCATCACTATTTTAGAAGTTTTAGATTGCGTATTTTTCATAAGATGCAGATTGATTTTGGATTGGCAGGTATAGAAACGAATATTTCTTGAAAGATTTGCTTCTCTTTTGAGTATACGACCTCAAATTAATAGAGAAATAGATTAAATTGAGTTTACCTACTAGATGAATATTTTAGTTCAAAGGAGGGTTTTATGTTTTGTGTCTTTTAAAAAGGGCCTCTTTAAGGGATGTGCATGCTGCCAAGGTCAAAATTGCGTCAAAAGTTGTTTAAACAATTATTCTAAACAAATATCAAAAACTGTCTTGGACACTTGTTTTTAGCTTTTATTCTGAATAAATATGGTTCTTATGGTCTTTTCAAGATGTAAGTGATTTTAAAAACGAAAATTTTGCAAAAATGCAAAGTATGCAAACTTCGACCCCAAAAAAACAATACGTAAAATCGAAATTTTTAATATTGCTAAAGTTCCTGAATCTTTTTTGAACATCTATTAACGAAAGCTTTGTTTTTTAATGGTTTTTAATGACAAAACTTGATTAACAGCTCAAAAATAAAAGTTTGCAATAACAATACCCCTTAAACTGCTTATGAATTTTTTTAATGGATTTTTCAAGAATATTTCGCAACTTTGGCAACATTGATATTTTAGTTTTTTTCATATTGTTTGTTGGAGTCGAAACTCGAATACGTTGCATTTTTCAAATATTAAATAATTTATTTTTCGAAAACTATTAACTTTAGAAAAAAGTTCATAAGAATATTTTTTTAGAATAAACCCAAAAGCTTAAAGAAATTCGGAATTATTAATTTTCAAAAGAGGACCTTTGTGGCAAAATAACAATATTTTTTCCAAACGAATGTGAAAATACTTCATGGACTAAATCAACAGGTATATTTTGTTATAAATCACATTTAAAACAGGTACTTGTTTATTATAAAAAAAATTGAACGGATGTGGAAAAAAATTCGTTCCTATACTTGATACTCCTCAAGATGTAGTATGTACCCTGTGCCATGTTTTACCGAAAAAGGAAACTACGAATAAAGCAATATGTTACATTTAAAATTACAGAATTAAATAATTACAAAACATAGTAATTATAGACTTGCAAAAAATAATACGTAGTATATAGTTAATATTGATTGTTGTTTAGCAAAAAGTGGAGAAAAGATGTGTAGTATATTTATCTACATTATTATAAAATTGTCCATTTAGTACATAGCGTCATCTATTAAAGTATAACAAAAACAGTAATTAATAATAATCCTAATTCAGAGTCACTAGACACGCACTACGAATACCGTTTTTTTATTTTGTTTGATATTATTTATTGATTGTATCACTCAGATTGCCTTGGTAGAGAATTTCGGGATTTTTGCATCACATCCAAATATAACCATTGTTTAAATGAAAACCGCAGTGATTCATTGTAAGGCCCAGAAATTTTCAATATACCTTCGCGCTTACACACATATGGAAGCATGTTATTGTCTGAGTTTTGAGAACAAGAAAAAATATAGTTTTTTTGAAGATTAGGTGCATTTCGGAAAGCGTTTTTTAAGCTAAGTCGTTTTAACTGAAAGGAAATTTTTTTTGTGTTAGAAACTTGGGCATATCTTTTAGACGCAAAAATCCAAAAATCACACAATACCAGCTTTCTACCTCAAGTGACATCGAGAGAGGATATCGCCATTCACATTCACTACAAACGTGCTTATGTTATTAATAACGACTGACTTAAAAAAAGCGCCAAGAAGGCCAGGTTTCGATTATATCTTGAGAACAAAATGATGTATCCTCTTGCGAAAACTCACTTGAAGGCCAATTCAAGAAAACAGGGGCTTAGAATAACCAACAGCTGACAAGCTCTATTGCTTTTCTAGGCATTTTCTAACAGCTTTTAACGTTTATCAAACAAGTTTCTGAATGCACCCATATTGGGCAAAATAATATGCTCTTAGGTTTTAATATTATTATTTCATCATAAAGTTATCCTCGTCTTCGCACTTTTTCTCTTTATCAAAAGAATGGCCAGAGGAGCGACTTTTAGGCCAAGCAGCAATTGAAAGATACAATTTCATCAAAATATCTCGAAAATACGTTTTATAGAGAAACATGTTATAGAAAAAAGTTGAGAGGTTTGGAAAGAGTCATATAATGGTTGTTTTGAATGTGACCTTGACTCTCCTTCAAGGTCATTTGAAAATGAAGACGGCAATCTTATACCAATGCCGTAAATGTAGAGACCTGGAAATTTTACTGTCAAGAAGTTTCTTGCCGATGACCTTGAGCATGACCATGAAGGTCATTTTAAGGCGTTCAAAAGGTACGGAGAACAAATTTTCATCAAAACAAATGCAATTTAGAGAAAAACGTTGCAGGGCAAAATTGCAAAGATTGAAAATGATCATCTAGAGATGACCTTTAACGTGACCTTGACTATCCTTCAAGGTCATTTAGAAATAAAGACAGCAATCTTGAATCAATACCGTAAATGTGGAGACCTGGAAATTTTACTTTCAAGTGGTTTCTTACCGATGACCTTGAGCATGAGCATGAAGGTCATTTTAGGGAGTTCAAAAGGTACGGAGAACAAAATTTGATCAAAACAAATGCAATTTAGAGAAAAATGTTGCAGGGCAAAATTGCAAAGTTTGAAAATGATCATCTATAGGTGACCTTGACTGTCCTTCAAGGTCATTTAGAAATAAAGACAGCAATCTTAAAGCAATACCGTAAATGTAGAGACCTGGAAATTTTACTTTCAAGTGGTTCCTTGCCGATGACCTTGAGCATGACCATGAAGGTCATTTTAAGGTGTTCAAAAGGTACGGAGAACAAAATTTCATCAAAACAAATGCAATTTAGAGAAAAACGTTGCAGGGCAAAATTGCAAAGTTTGAAAATGGTCATCTAGAGGTGACCTTGAACGTGACCTTGACTGTCCTTCAAGGTCATTTGGAAATAAAGGCAGCAATCTCAAATCAAAACCGTAAATGTAAAGACCTGGAGATTTTACTCTTAAGTGATTTCTTGCCTATGACCTTTACCATAACCTTGAAGGCCAATTTAAGAAGTTCAAAAGGTACGGAGAACAAAATTTCGTCAAACAAATGCAATTTAGAGAAAAATGTAGCAGGAAAAAATTGCAAAGTTTGAAAATGATCATTTAGATGTGACCTTTAACGTGACCTTGACTATCCTTCAAGGTCATTTGGAAATAAAGACAGCAATCTTGAATCAATACCGTAAATGTAGAGACCTGGAAATTTTACTTTCAAGTGGTTTCTTACCGATGACCTTGAGCATGAGCATGAAAGTCATTTTAGGGCGTTCAAAAGTTACGGAGAACAAAATTTGATCAAAACAAATGCAATTTAGAGAATAATGTTGCACGGCAAAATTGCAAAGTTTGAAAATGATCATTTAGAGGTGACCTTGAACGTGACCTTGGCTGTTCTTCAAGGTCAGTTGGAAATGAGGACTGCAAACTCAAATCAAAACCGTAAATGTAAAGACCTGGAAATTTTACTCTCAAGTGATTTCTTGCCTATGACCTTGACCATGACCTTGAAGGCCAATTTAAGAAGTTCAAAAGGTACGGAGAACAAAATTTCGTCAAACAAATGCAATTTAGAGAAAAATGTTGTAGGGCAAAATGATCATCTAAAGGTGAGTTTGAACGTGACATTGACTACGACCCTGAAGATTTTACGATGAATGACGATGTAGCGGAATAAGAAATTAGTGTTCTTGAAGCAAGAATGAAAGATTCATTTGATCTTCAAATAACCTTGAAGGATATAGCCAAGGTGATGATTGTCACCTTGACCGTAAAATGTTTCGAAGTAAGGAGTTTATTTAAAAATGTATCTGACCTTCAAATGACCTTGTACGTCATCGTCAGGTTCACTAGAAAGGATATATTCGTACGTAAAATTATCCGTAATTTACATTTCAGGAATTAAAAATAGGTATTTCCCGCTAAAAATTTATTTGGTCTTCAAATCCTTGATGATCATGGTCCACATCATCTAAATTCCTGAACATAACGCTTTAAGCTATTTATGTTGCCGGTGCAAAAATCAGGGCATTCCATTAAAGAAAACAGTCTTGACCTCCAAATGACCTTGTAGGCTATAGTTAAGTTCACGTTGACCCTTCACAAATCTTACAACTTTGCTCTGCTACGTTCTTAGATATTTTGACCTTTCCATACGTTTTGGGCGCCCTCGAATAGCCTTGAAGGTCATGGTCAAGGTCATGGGAAAAGATATACTTAAACATTAAACTTTACGCTTTTTTTATTTGCGATGTCAAAACTAGGAGTTTTCAAATGAAAATACTGACAAGACCTTGGAGGTCATAGTCAAGGTCACCACTAGATGACCTATTTCAAACCTAACAATTGTGTTCTACATTCTAGAAGCAAGAGCTAGAGCAAATTGTTTTCAGTGTCTTGGATTGACTGTGAAATGGCTTGCTGATCATGATGATGATCATAGTGAAGGTCATACTCGGACGCAAACTTTTCTACTACCTCCAATTCAGCTGTAAAAAAGTGTAATTATTCGCTGGACTTTAAAATGACCTTAAAGATTGCGATCATTATTATGCTCAAGGTCACTTTGTCCTCTTGCAACCTTTCTTTGAAACGTCTTTCTAGAATGTGAAGCAGGTCATGCTAAACTTAAATGTTAATTGTAAGGCAACCACTTAATGTCTATGCCAATCATCTTAGATATTTTGACCTTTCCATACGTTTTGGGCGCCCTCGAATAGCCTTGAAGCTCATAATCAAGGTCACGTTCAAGGTCACCATTAGATGACCAGTTTTAAACCTAAGAACTATGTTCCACATTCTAAGAAACTCATTTTTCGAGATATTATGATATATTCATAACTTTTGGACACCCTGTATACGTACGCCCACTTTCTATTAGTTATTCTGCTCGGTCGTTTTCATGAATTAGCCTTTCGGTAGTTCGCATAGCCCTTCCTAAGGGCGTATACCACCGAATGGGGGCACGCGTCACACGCACAACTACTCGTATAGCCGCCTGAGCGTCCAGATTCGTGTTCCGTCGCTCTAGAGTCTTACACTACTACGCTTCGTCCTTCATTTCTTCGCGCTCGCGCTGTTTTTCGTCCGTGTCGAGGTTAAGGCACTCTTCGAAAAAGTTCTGCATCGATCTGTAGACGTGTTCGATCACACCCTCCAGGAGATGACCCTCGTTCGCGTAGCTCTGAAAAATTCACAAAAAACATCACAATATGGATGTATCGAAAGCAGAAAAAATGTTTTTAGGCTTTTTGCCATTTCTAACTTTGATTTCCGAAATAAACTAAACCGGCCAATTGGAGCACCTTACCTGATACCTATAGATGACGCCAGCATCCGCAATGGCCCTGGCTAGGGCTACGCCATGTGTATAGGGTGCCGTCAAGTCTGCTAAACCGTGTATTAGAAAGAACGACTGCCTAGGGATGTTTCGAGCCCTTTGAGTCGCGTCAGCCTCCACGTACCCCTTGTAATTTTCCGCTGGAAGGCCCAGGATTTTCTCCGTGAATGCAGCATCTGAAAAAGTATAGCGATCATTGCGGACCCATTTTGGTCGCTCCATTTAAATATTCAGAAAACAAGGTACAAGCAAAAGTTCTAGGGTTTCTAAGAGACAAAATAATTGCAACCCTGACCATGACCTTCACTACAATGCTCAAGGTCATTCCAAAGTCAAGCAAATATTTCCAAATGGAACCCCCATTTCTGCACCGGGTACATTTGAATATGACCTTGACCTTCGAGGGCAATTCAAGGTCAAGAAAATACATTCAAGAGAATTTGCTCTAGCAAAAATGTTCGATAGCACAACTCATCCAAAGGTGACCTTGCCCCTGACTGAGGCCATGACTTCCAAGGTCAAGCTAACATTTTCAAAGGAAACGCCTAATTTATATCCTGGAATTGGAAAAAGCAGGAAATGTTACGTCCGAATAAGACCTTGACCCCAAGGTCATGACAAGATTGTTGAGGGTAGCCTCACAAATAGTACTTAAGATTATTTGTAAGGCCACCCTTTGAAATTTTATATTCTAACGTATAAAATTTTGACGTGAGCTTGAAGGTGATAGTCAAGGTCATGGTCAAAATCACCTTTGGGTGACCCCTCACAAAGCTCACAACCGTGCTGTCGAACATTTTTGCTAGAGCAAATTGTTTTCAGTGTCTTGGTTTGACCTTGACATTGCCTTGAAGTAAAATTTTCTCACTCCAATCACGATGTAAAAAGCGGAGTTCCATTTGAAAATATTAGCTTGACCTTGAAATGTCCTTGAAGGTCACGATTAAGGCTATGGTCAAGATGACCGAAATTTTATCCACTTGAAATATTTGTTTGAAATTTTTAAGTGGAGAGAACTGTATAGAACTGAAGTTGAAACGTAGCAATTACTCAAAAGTTTACTATCGAATACTCACTGTAATATAACCAATCTGCTATTGGACTAACGGCAATGCCACACTTGAACACTTTCTGCTGGTTGCCCAGCCCTAGCACCATAGAAACCACGTAACCACCATATCCCCAACCCCAAAGTCCGACTCTTGTCTTATCCAGGTACTTGTGCTTTTCCAGAAGATGCTCCAACACAGTTACCTGTAAAATCATCATCGAAATCAGTTTCTCTCTACGTCTTTACCCCACATTGATCCTCATGGTTAAAGTGCCAAATGCTTGTAAAATTACTTGGAGGTTTCTCTTTATATTTCTTGTATTTGAGCAGGTAAATTGAGCTGTTTGTTTGTTCGTGAATATATTTGAAAAAACATTATCCTGCAGCAATAACGAACTTGTCGATATGACGTGAGCTTACGATCAGTCTTTTCAATATGCTGCTGATGCTTCAAGCCTATATTTAGATCGTTTACGTGGATGTTTTCATCCTGCACCGCGTCAAGTTTTTTATCCCGTACAAATGCCATTTACAGGAACGTTGAAGTATTCATAGTAGAAGACGTAAATGCTTATGTTTATAAGCTCTGTGTGGATATGCAGAACATATTTAACAAATTTTTAAAATTTTGTCGCCTCTGTCCCAGTTCTCAGAACACCCTGTCGACTTATTCTTATTATCCTGTCAAAATAAAATATAGGTAAATTACCTGATCTTGGACTTCTACGCCCCCTAACTGGTGATAGAGGGACCTATCACTTTGTCCTTTAGCACCACGAACATCGAGCTTTACGTACACTACATCACTGTGACTTGACATGTACGTGCCCCAGTCGACCTTGAACTCTTCAGTGACTGATTTGCTGCCTGGTCGACCATTACTGAAAAGAAAAACTTCTGCTGTAATGCAATCTACTAAAGTTCAAATATAATTCGTTGGCCAGTCCCGCTAAACTCTTGAAGATTCTACCTTTTTCTACTTTTGATCTCATTATCAAACTAGGTCGGACGAAAAAGTAGAATGAGCTTCTACAGAACATCTAGCGTCTATCAGGCATCGCTAGCCTATTTGCTGTTTCTTCTAGATACCTTTCTCAGTTCAAAATACGCTTATTCGTTCAGAGTAATAATGATTTGGCATCTGCTAACACCCAATCACGGCATGAGCCCAAAGCATGAGCTACTAGCCTTCAGTTTTGCGAGGTCATCCATTTCACTCTACAGTGTCAAGGGTCCCAGAGACATATCACTTATTCAACATTACTGAAGACCAGAAGAGTTGGCATTATCCTCACAGATATCATATGATAGGCTAGTTATTTGTCAAAGCCTGATGAATCTGAAGGTCTATCTCATGATTCGTTAAGACTTTAGACCGTACTTGGAGTCCTGGAGTTGGTTACAATTGTTTCGCTGTGACACATCCATGGTAGAAGGCTGCTCTTCCCGAAATATTCTTCGATGTTTCTGACCAAGGTCTAGAGGAACGATTCATGTAAATGACTAAAGCAGTTTGTACTTACACTTCGACAAGCACCGGATATGCAGCGTCTCGGAGCTCCTCTCTCCAACTGGGAGGTAGCAACAACTGCGCCTGAGCACGACCTCCGTGAGGCAACCTCAACTCTATACACCTCTTCTTGGGCATGGCGAACTTATCCAGGAGGTCTCTTCTAGCCGGCCTAGTATCGTAGAGGACCTTGATGACCTTGTGGGTTGAAGCGTTGTGGACTGCTGCCAAAGGGAGGCCGGGACCTTCACAATGGAGCACATAGTAGGTGGCTGCCGTTGGGGAATGCGAACTGTCCGCTCGGGGGCTCACCTGGCAGGTCAGAAGAGGTCAAAGGTCAATAATCGAGCATCAAGGACAAGGTAAAAGATTAAGGTCAAGGATTCAAGGTCGCTGATCAAGATGAAGTGTCGAGAGGATGGACCAAGCTGAATAACAGAGATGAACGGTGGGAGGATCGAGGATCAAGGTCGAAGATTGAGGTCAATAGCAATGCTCAGGGTCGAAAATCAGTGTGAAGTATTGAGCTCAAGGATTAAGGTCGGTGAACAAGGTAAAGGATCAAGAGGAGGAACCAAGTTGAAGAATTAAGATCAGGGGCTATGACCAACGGCAATGATCAATGTCAAGACTCAAGGTAAGAAATAAGGTCAAGGATAAAGGCCGGTAATCAAGATGAAGGATCTAGGACAGGCATCAAAATGAAGGATCAAAGGTTCACAACCGAGGATCAAGAATCAAGGTTGACATATTAAGGTCGAGGATTGAGGTCAATCGCAATAATTTAGGTCCAGAATCAAGGTCAAATATTAAAGTCACGGCTCGAGGATGGTGGTCAAGATTAAGGGTTGTGAGCAGGGTCCACGATCGAGGATCAAGGATCACGGTAGACGCATCGGAGTCGAGGATTGAGGTCAATGTCAATGATTAAGGCTAAGGATCAAAGTCGATGATCATGATAAGTAGGGACCAAGTTGAAGAACTAAGATCAAGAATCATCGACCGACCACCCAGGTTCGGGGTGTTCGATCAATAACATTGACTAATGTCAATAACCAAGGTCAAAAATGAAGTTCATGGATGAAGGGAAGGGGTCAAGATAAAGAACCAAGATAAAGGATCACCAGTCCACCATCGAGGATCAAGAATCAAGGTTGAGGTTGGATGAAGTATCCAGAGGAGGATCCAAGTTGAAAAACTGAGATCAAGGATCAATGACTGACCATGAAGAATTGGGGGTTACAGTCAACGGCAGTGATCAATGCCAAGAATCAAGGTCAAATTTTAAGGCCAAGGATCAAGGCCGATCATCAAGATGAAGGACCGAGTGGAGGGAGGAACCAAGGTGAAGGATCAAAGATGCACAGTCTAGGATCAAGCATCAAAGTGGACGAATCAAGTCAATCAAGGTCGAGGATCAAGGTCAACGACAATGATCAATGTCAAGGATCAAGGTCATAAATTAAGGGCGAGGATCAAGACCGGTGGTGAAGATGAAGGATAGAGGGAGGAATCAAGATGAACCAAGATGAAGGATCAAAGGTCCTCAGGCGAGGTCCAAGAACCAAGGTAGACGAATCAAGGTTCTGGTTTGAGGTCAATAGCAATAGTCATGGTCAAGAATCAAGGTCAAAGATCAAGGTCGGACATTTAGATGAAAGGCAGGGAGGATGGACAGCACTGAGGAACTAAGGTCAAGAATCAAGGATCAACAATCGAGGGCTAAGAGCAACGGCGACGATCAGTGTTAATAATCAAGATCAAGGATTAAGGACAAGGCCCGTGGCATCAAGATGAAAAACCAAGATGAAGGATGAAGTTTTTACGGTCGAGGATCAAGGATCAAGGATCTGTTATAATCTAAAACTTACCTGGGCACTGAAATGAGTACAGTTTCCATACAAGTATCTGCTACTCCAGAGAACATCTCCTAAATCGCATGTGATACAATGCGATTCTAACCTCCGAGGGTCATCGGTACTAGGATCTCTTACTATGTATAAATGCCTTTGTCCTGGCTTATTTTCTTCTGTAGCTAAATAGTATCTGCAATATAACATATGAGTTATATGCGTGACTTCATCCTATTTTATTCATAAAAATAATAAAATAGATGCTTCGTTAATTAGAATTTTTGCAAATTGAAATTCCGTTGAGATACATAAGGTGTAGTTGAAACCGCTCCATTATACAAGTCTACTCCAGTTTGAAAAACCAGTTTTCCAGGCAAATAGTTAGATTATTCGCTGGGCGCAAACCACAACAACTTCTGCATGTAAATTATCTCTGGCTTAACTAACCGCATTGCGAACTTCAACTATTCTCATTTGCCGTATTGTTACGGTATAACATGGTCAATTAGAGTCCATAGTTATGTACGTTTAGATAGTTTCTGACGCAAAAGTTGCAGATATTTGATCCCGTACGTCTGTAAGCTAACGTATGAAGCATTCACAAAAAATCTCCAAGAACGTAAATATCTTTTTCGATGGTTCTATCAAAAAATAGTTTTTAAAAACGTTCGGCTCATTGCTTAATTGCGATTGCATGGTAGCTTTTATAGGGTATATCATTTTAATCTCTCCACTTGAATGTTTCGAAAATTGCGCATTGTAGAAAAAACTTTCAAATAAAAGCTGTAAGGTTTCGACGTGGCACAATACCGGTGACGTTGACATTGATCTTGTCCACAACCTTCAAGGTCATCTCCAGGTACAGAAAATCATTGCAAAAAGAATTTACCTTCTTCACTTCGGAATTGAAAAGAGGAGGAGATTTTACGTCCGAATATGGCCTTGGACATGGCGTTGAACATATCCTTCAAGGTCAAATTTGCTATAGTGAACTTTGAGGGGATCACCCATAGGTGACCTTGACAACGATGGTCAATTGAAGCTTAAATATTATTTGAAGTCAAAGTTACATCCTGACGTAACATTTTCTGCTTTCTTTTATTTCCAGTATAATAATGAGATGTTTACTTTAAAAATTTTGAGTTAATCTTGAGGGTCATAGGCAAGGTCATCTTTGGGTTATCCCACAAACTTCGCAACTGTGCCGACGAACATTTTTGCTGAAGCAAATGTCTTGATTTGACCTTGAAATGGCCTTGAATGTCATGATCCAAGTTATCGCCAGGACGTAAAATTTTCTCTTTTCAATTACGATGTGAAATTTTTTTCTGGAATGAGCAATTTTCGAATTATTTAGATGGAGACATTACTGTATATGAAGAAGAGGCAGAAAAAACTTTTTCCGGTAACATTTTAGCGATGGTCAATATAGAGTTCTATAAAATTTTTAAACAAAAGTTGTGGGGTTTTGACGTCAAAAAATGAGGGTAATCTTGACAATTACCGCGAGCACAATTTTCAAGGCTATTTCAAGGTAAAATTTGTTATAGCAAAATTGTTCGACAGCATAGTTGTGAGGTTTTTGGGGTCACACAAAGGTGACCTTGACCATGATATTTGAAGTCAAATTGAAATTTCTAAAGTTAACTTTTGGCCTTGAATGTCATGGTCAAGGTTATCGCCAAGGTCACAATTTTCTGTTTTTAATTCCGATGTGAAAATATTTGCTTATCTTTAAGTGACTTTGAATGCACTGGCCAAGGTCATTGTCAAGGTCACCATAATTTTGATCCCTACGACTTGTGTTTGAAACTTTTTTCCAAAATGACCAATATTCGAATTATTTAGATGGGGAGACAGACACTGCAAATGGAGAAGAGAAAAACCTTTTTCCGAAAACATTTTAGCAATGGTCTATGTACTGAGTACGGGTGGGGTCCGTAAGTCTAGAACACAGCCTGGATACCACGGGTGGCTGCCCACCGAAAAAAAAGTACATTGAAAAATTATTGGAAGAGAGTTGATAAGAAATAAACACGACAAGTAACAATACCTTCCATAGATTTTATAACCATCACAAAATATTGCACATATATCGCAATTTGAAAGAAAGACGACTCAGCGCTTCTGGGTTTATGTTGAAATTTTTTTTACATATATTCAGAGCCCTATCAAATACTTCAGCCAGAGCTACCATTCGTATGTTTATAGATAGCCAGTTAAAAAAGCGGTGAATGTGCACATTCAGATAGCGGTGCCTCATTCACCATTTTTTGAAATCTTGACGACCCATGGCTGCAATTGCTGCTTTTACCGTATCCACAACATTCGTTTTTTTGCATAATCTTGTTCAACAGGGGTACCTTTTAACAAATCTACATGTTGTCAGAGCCAATATTGCGTTTAAAAGTTTTTTTAAACAAAATCCAAAAATAATTTTTTTGCTCCAGGTATTTTTTTTAGGTTTCTTTGCGTCATTCAGAACAGAAAAGGTTCTTATGATTTTTTTCTCTAAGTTTGATAATTTTAGCAATGGTCTATGTACTGAGTTCGGGTCCGTAAGTCTAGAGCACAGCCTGGATACCACGGATGGCTGCCCACCGAAAAAACCGCACTTTCAAAAATTATTTGAGGAAAGTTGATAAGAAATAAGCACGACATCATACTGAGAAGGTTGCCACGCTTACAAATATTTTCCTGTTCTTAAGAGGCAAAGTAACAATATTTTCCATAAATTTGGTAACCATCACAAAATATTCCACACATATTGCAAATCAAAAGAAAGACGACACAGTGTTTCTGGGTTTGTGTTGGAATTTCTTAGGACATACATTCAGAGCTCTATGAAACACTTCATTATCGTCAGAATATCAAAATCAAAGGTCTGTGACTTTCACTTCCAAACCATTTCAATTCTCAATTTTGAAACGTGCGAATCACTTGCTTTGTAAATTTTGGGATGTGTAAACAAAAATTGGAATGCCAGGGCTACCGTTCCCATGTTTATAAGCAAGTTAAAGAAGTGGTGAATGCACATTCAGATATCGGTGCCTCCTTCACCATTTTTTGAAATCTTGACGACCCATGGCTGCAATTGCTATTTTTACCGTATCCCCAACATAAATAAGAAGCACAAAAGATTCTGTCCGATAACACTCCAAGCAATCCATAATTTCGACAGCTGCCACTAGTCAGCAATTCGTTAAATTGGATAAAAGCAAATATTAGTCGACTAGCACTGCTATTTGGATCGAACCCGAACAGGACTGTTTGTATAACGTCAGATACATCATAGTGATTGGTCTGTCTATATGCACACTCCTGCAGCTTTCCAGGAATTCGCTGGTTTTCCATGCATAAGCCAGAAATGTTTTAACTCCACGCAGCAAAAAATTTACAAATCGATTGATCTGCATTCGCCCGGGAAAATATTCTAATTCATTTTTTGCCATAATCTTGTTCAACAAATCTACATGTTGCCAAAGCCAAAATTGCGTTTAAAAGTTTTTTTAAACAAAATCCAAAAATGATTTTTTTGCTCCAAGTATTTTTTTTTTAGGTTTCTTTGCGACATTCAGAACAAAAAAGGTTCTTATGATTTTATTCTCTAAGTTTCATAATTTTAGCAATGGTCTATGTACTGAGTTCGGGTGGGTTCCGTAAGTCTAGAGCACAGCCTGGATACCACGGGGTTGCCCACCAGAAAAATTGCACTTTCAAAAATTATTTGAGGAAAGTTGATAAGAAAGAAGTACGACATCATACTGAGAAGGTTGCCACGCTTACAAATATTTTCCTGTTCTTAAGAGGCAAAGTAACAATATTTTCCATAAATTTGGTAACCATCACAAAATATTCCACACATATTGCAAATCAAAAGAAAAACGACACAGTGCTTCTGGGTTTGTGTTGGAATTTCTTAAGACATACATTCAGAGCCCTATGAAACACTTCATTATCGTCAGAATATCAAAATCAAAGGTCTGTGACTTTCACTTCCAAACCATTTCGATTCTCAAACTTGAAACGTTCGAATCACTTGCTTTGTAAATTTTGGGATGTGTAAACATAAATAGGAAAGCCAGGGCTACCTTTTCCATGTTTATAAGCATCACTTGTTTAAGAAGCCTATAATTACCATATAGCCCGTTAAAAAAGTGGTGAATGTGCACATTCAGATATCGGCGCCTCTTTCACCATTTTTTGAAATCTTGACGACCCATGGCTGCAATTGCTATTTTTACCGTATCCCCAACATAAATAAGAAGCACAAAAGATTCTGTCCGATAACACTCCAAGCAATCCATAATTTCGACAGCTGCCACTAGTCAGCAATTCGTTAAATTGGATAAAAGCAAATATTAGTCGACTAGCACTGCTATTTGGATCGAACCCGAACAGGACTGTTTGTGTAACGTCAGATACATCATAGTGACTGGTCTGTCTATATGCACACTCCTGCAGCTTTCCAGGAATTCGCTGGTTTTCCATGCATAAGCCAGAAAAGTTTTAACTCCATGCAGCAAAAAATTTACAAATCGATTGATCTGCATTCGCCCGGGAAAATATTCTAATCCGTTTTTTTGCATAATCTTGTTCAACAGGGGTACCTTTTAACAAATTTACATGTTGCCAGAGCCGAAATTGCGTTCAAAAGTTTTTTTAAACAAAACCCAAAAATGATTTTTTTGCTCCAAGTATTTTTTTTCGGTTTCTTTGCAAAATTCAGAACAGAAAAGTTTCTTATGAGTTTTTTCTCTAAGTTTGATAATTTTAGCAATGGTCTATGTACTGAGTTCGGGTGGGGTCCGTAAGTCTAGAGCACAGCCTGGATACCACGGATGGCTGCCCACCGAAAAAACCGCACTTTCAAGAATTATTTGAGGAAAGTTGATAAGAAATAAGCACGACATCATACTGAGAAGGTTGCCACGCTTACAAATATTTTCCTGTTCTTAAGAGGCAAAGTAACAATATTTTCCATAAATTTGGTAACCATCACAAAATATTCCACACATATTGCAAATCAAAAGAAAGATGACACAGTGCTTCTGGGCTTGTGTTGGAATTTCTTAGGACATACATTCAGAGTCCTATCAGACACTTCATTATCGTCAGAATATCAAAATCAAAGGTCTGTGACTTTCACTTCCAAACCATTTCAATTCTCAAACTTGAAACGTGCGAATCACT